ACCAGTAAAAGGAGAAAGCTACTGTAAAAACAGAGTTTTAAACATACACATGACTTTTATCTCACTTAAAAGCAAAAAGTCAATGTAATTTACTTGAAGGTTTGAAAATAATTTTTATATTTATCAGCACTAGATAAATATATTACTCCAATGTATTAGTCATCTTCAGTATACAATATATAACTTACAAAACTGGGTTTTATAAATACCCGAACTTTTCACAGAACTAGCTACCAGCTATCAGCACTGTGAGCAGCCTTCAGCTGCCTGTGTACTCAGAAATCTAGAAGTAGAAAGGGCTAAGCTGCGTGGACTACAGTGCAATAGAACATCCAGGTTCACAGAGCATACTCTCCTTCCTTGTTTGCTTATGTGTTTAACTGCACTATCCTACTTTCATAGCATCCGCTGAGTATGAAATGTCTTCATTTTAATGCATTTTTATAAGCTACCCTGTGTTCTGATGGGTTTGATGAACTTACTCTTGCAGTGTACATAGTATGAAGTGCCCAGGCTATTTACAAAGTCTTATACATGGGTAACTTGTAAAAGGAAGTGTTTTTACCTGGATTTTTAAATAATTTTAAGCTGTGGCTTGTTTTTTATTTTCCAACTAAAACTTGGAAGTCCAAGAAATTAGGAGTATATTAAATAATGTAAATACATCTTAAATTAAAGTAAGTTGTTCACCTATAAGATATAATGTGGAGTCTATGTTAAGCATTGTTATTAGTTAATGCAGTCTTGGTTATTCTGTTTAATTTCTTTACCTGGAAACAACAGAGAGAACTATACAAAAAGTAGTTACAGTCCAGCTGTCTTTAACTCTCTGTTCTCTGTATCAACAAATCTTTATATATTTTCTTCCAACATAAACATCTCTAAACAAAACCTGGGAAAATAATAATAAAAAAATAACGATTTGCTTACTATAAAATAACAATTACCACCCTCTAAAAGTTCTAGTTGCCTCTTTGCAAAGGAATCCTATTGCTAAGGTATTATTACCAGGGTGACAAGAGATTGTGACACAAAAGTCAACTGAGGGATGCTACAGCAGAAACAAGGGAGAGGAAGGGCTGGCTACCCTTGGGGTGGGGCAATGAAAAGAAGAGATCAAGCATCCATGTTGTGGAAGCCACTGGCAAAGCAGTCCCCCTAGACGGCAGTTCCACCAGCAAAGCAGTCCCACCAGCCAGCATTTCCACCAACAAAGCAGTTCCACTAGACAGCAGTTCCACTAGCAAAGCAGTCCCACTAGCAAAGCAGTCCCACTAGCCAGTGGTTCCACTAGCAAAGCAGTCCCACTAGCAAAGCAGTCCCACTAGCCAGAATATCTAATCAACTTCAGACAGAGAATGTATCCATTGAGAGCCAAGAAAATACTTCAGTTGTCAGAGTTGAAAAGGGAATTGATTTTTACAGCTAAATTAAAATTGATATCCCTAAAGAATTTATCCTTGGAAAATGAAAGTTCATTATGTGCTCTAGTTCGGTTGCAGGTGGAAATGATTTACTTTAGCAGTGGTGTATGGAGGGCTCGCCTACAGTTTTTCATTTCATAGCTTGTCAATTGATGTCAAATTAACCCATGAAGTCAACAGTAATAAGATCTCATATATCAAAGAAGTTAGGAAGTTATGTTTGGGTAATTTATATCAAAATATAAAAATAATTAAGGAGCAGATTCCTCACAAATCACTGGAAAAAGATCTCATAGAATGAATTTGAATTTGAAGGCCAAGAACATACTGTTTTTTTCAGGAACTATTTTTAAGGGATTATGAACCATGTGAAAACTAATATAAGTTAATGTAAGACAAAGAGATTTAAATCTAGAAAAATATGTCTGCTTTTAGAGTTCAAATGACACATTCACTGTTCTTGTAATCATTCTGATGTTTGTTTTTTCCTTTTGTATATCTAATGATTCATTTAATGTGTGTGCCTTCAAGCACGAACTATGTCGATGGGATAATCTACTGACCCAAGAAAATGAAAATGTGCAAGGGGAAGGAGACCGCCTAATCTTTAGCTCAGGACACATTCTTCTGAAATGTTCAGTGTGAATAAAGTCAAGAGTAACTGAAGATACCACAGGAAGATCAAAGTGAGCCAAGTGTGGGTCCGTGGAAACTTCAAAGTCCCCAAGGGATGGGGAGATCCGAGGAATCTGACTAAAAGGAAGATTTGGATTCAGCAGACCTGGAGTGGACCTGAGGTTCTGCATTTAAATTTTTTACCTATTTATTATCACGTGTGTGTACATAACAGGCCATAGGTGGGTGAGCACCATGGTGGGTATGTGGGGGTCAGAAGACAAGTCTATAAGTGTTTCTCCTTCCCCTTTTAGATGGCATCTGGTATCAAACCTGGTGTCAGACCCTGCTGAACCATCTTGTCCATTCCCAGATTCTGCATTTTTGTAAGCTCCCAGACAACATTAATGCTGATGGCCCTTGGACCACATTTTGAGGAGCAGCCAAATGAAACGTCTCTGCAATGGCGGAAATGTTCTACATCTGTGGTTACAGGGCAGCTCAAAATGTAGGGAGTGCAACCGATAAATGGTTTCTAGTAAGAAGAAGCTTAATTTAATAGCCACAGGTGTTCAGTGGTCAAAATAGCAGACAGGACAGATCTGGACACCCACTGTTTGTCTCTTCTCAACCACAGCAGTATGTCTCCACATGACCTAAGCCGTTAATTCTCTTCAGTTATCTAGCAAGCTGAAAATCTGGTTCCCCTAAACATTTTGCCATGGAGTAACTGATGGAGAAAGAACAGAAAACATTGAGAATTTGAGCAGACATGAGTGAGAAACGGCCAGTCGCCTGGAAGCCTGGAGTTTTACTTAAACCTGACTCTGTTCCTCTTCTTCCAGGAAAGGGAAGAAGTGAACATGAAATAATCCGGAAGAGAGAAGAGCAAGCTGCAGTCAGTGCACACGTGAGCGCTACTCTCCAGACGTGACTGGAACCCAGTGAGAGGCAAGGCCTACTTTCCTCATTACGAAGCCCCAAGCAGGATAGGACAATTTCTCTGTGACACCAGCAGAGGCTGAAGGAGACTGCGAGAGTACCCTGCTGGCACACAGGAGCCAGAACTCCCTGGAGTCCAGCCCAGATTCACGAAGCCACGGATTACAGAGAAAAATGCTCACACAGCCCAAAACCACTCATCCAAATTGTCATCTCCAAGTGACAACCCCAAAGCCATTCTACTTAATTAAGGTTTCCATGGGTCTGGATTTTACAGAATACAAAAAGGTGTTAGCAGGAGCCGAAAAAGATGATCAAACAACAGCAACAACCACAAGCCAATCATTGTGCACCCTAGGGCAGTGGCCATTAGGGAGTCTTTCCTGTTGATACATGTATTTGGGAGGTGAAAACCGAATGATTTTTATATTAATACACTTTATACGGGAGTCTCCTCCCCACCCCTTTCTCAACCTGGTTTCAAAGGAAATGTTGGCAAGGTACTCACCAGGGGGTATATAAAAGGAACTTTAGAGGTGTGAAGCTCTACATTAAAATCACTAAGTGACTGGCTTATTATCAGCTCAAAAGCCTTAATAGGAATTATCTTTGGAAAGTTTCCATCGTGCACAACTTAGGTAAAACATATAGACAGATTTACTTATATGGTCGGGGTTTGTCTGTTGGTTCCTCTGAATTTGCCCTGCTATGGTAGAGCCAAGGCCCCGACTTTCCTTGGCAAAAACTCTGAAACTGAAATCCAGGCCTGGCCTTCATTTATTTTTAAGGTATCTAAATTTTGTTCTTTCCTTTTTTTTTTTTTTTTTTTAATTTTGAACTAGTAAATACCCAAGTTAGAAAGAAGGGATACTATATCTCAAGACAATATGTCAGTAAGCGCATACATGCAGGTAAAGGTATATGGCACATATGTGCGCATGAATCTGAGCATCTAGCAGATTACTTGATCAAAGCCATTTCCATGGGGTCAGCAACCTTCTTGCTTCTCTTACCTACAGAACTTCCAAATAGTACAATTGATTTTTGGCATACGGTGACCAGAAAACACATAGAAAGATAATTTTTACTGTTTTGACATGTATACCTTTGGCTCTCAAATACCTGATAATTCTATTGAGCAACACTGCCATATACTGGTTTAGAAAAAGGAAAATAATATCTACCTGATAGACTATCAAAATGTGTGTGAGATAGTAATACAAAAAGCCCTTAAGAAATAAAATGAAATTTCTTCCATCGGGGAGATCCTGTAAATGATCACTTCAGCTAGTCCAGGTACCTCGGTGTACAAGTCTCAACTGAGACCTTGCAAAATTCTGACATGTCCACAGTCTTACAAACTCAGGCAGAAACTTAAAATGGTTATTAAACTGAAATTTGAAAAAAAAAAAAAGGGGGACAAATGTGAGATTTGGGGTTTGGAAAGTTGCAATAAGTTTTGTTAGGCAACAGAATACAAAATGCCCAGTAATTCTCTTTATGCACACACCCATGGTTTGGGATAGGCGAATAATTTGGTTTGCATAAGATGCATATCATCTGTTGGTCATGGCACAGACGAATGTTCACAGAGTCTTAGGTATAGAAAGAATAATTTACTCAAATGTCCATACTGAAGAAAAGTGCCCTGAACCCACCAAAAAGTGCTCGGGTAGCTGGGTGGTAATCAATTAAATTTCACTATACTAGACGTTAAAGCTATTGAAATATTTTAACAATCCATGACATGCAAGAAAAAGAAGGACAAGTCAGGCAGGAACATCGTGCATCGTTCAGAGTGTATGATGGGTTGGTTGGTCTCACCTTACTCTTGGACCAGTGGATACTGGACCTTAGGGTGAAAAACTCAAAGCACAATCCCTATCTCTTATCTCCTACTTAGAAGGAGCCAATGCCTTTGCTAATGAAGCCTGAGAAATTCCAGCTGCTCACTGTTAGCAGGTGGAGGTCAACCTAAGGATCTCCAGCCAGCCCAGATCCAAGGAGAATGAGGGGCAAGCAATTCCATCTTTTTAGACAAGGCAATCGTTTCCGATCCTTCTTTCACCACTCTGAGAATTTTCTAGCATGTCAGGTTTGCACAATGAGAAAATGGCTTTGTGGAATGATTTCTTTTTTCTTTTGGCACAAAATCTACTACCTCACAGAACTTTCACCCACAGCAAAACATGGATCCAGAGAGGTGCTCCAGAGATGCTTCTCTATACAGTCACAGGAACAGCCAGCAGCTTCCAAGAGCTCTGCACTGAGCGGCGAGGACCTCTCTTCCCAGAAATAGCACCAGTGTGACCACGCCTCAGACCCAGTGGGGAGGGTTCCTTTCAAGCTCTTTAATTCCCTGGAGAATTCGCTTCATATGACCCACTTTCGGTATCCCCAGGTCCTAAAAAAAAATATGAGAAAAAAATTTTTTAATTAAAGAAAAAGATAGAAAGGATAACAATAATAATAGGAAGAAAGAGGAGAAAGAGAGAGAGAGAGAGAGAGAGAGAGAGAGAGAGAAAGAAGACAAGTTTACCAAGAGGAAAACATGAAATTAAAATTTCAACTAGTAATAATTAGCATTTACTTCATTTTATTAACATTTTATATTCAATGATTCTGGAAGTGATAGCTAGAAAACCAAGTTACTAAAACAAAAGTAGTCTGATACTGAAAAATGACCAGTCAATAAAAAAGAATACCCCAAACAAACTCCTCTTAAGTGTGATATTATGATGAATTCTGTACATCTATGGAAAATGTTTAAGAGTCAAAATTAATACGGTTTCTTCCTCTTTTTTTTTTTTTTAAAATCACATCTTGTGATGTGAAGCAAATGATTTTACCATGTATACACATACACACACACACACACTTTTTTTTTTCTTTTGTAAACACGGTCCTGCTATCTTGTCCAGACTGTTTTGAACTCTCAGTGATCCTCCTGCCTCAGCTTCCCAACCTTTGGAATTACGTGCCACCATACCCAGCTCTTGTGCTCTATTTATATCTTGTGCCATATTAAATTTAAAATTGAGGCCTGCCAGACCAGGAGTTAGAAGACAGAGGTTGGTGGGTAGTGATTTCAAAGTCATCCTTGGCTACACAGCAAGTTTGAGACCAGCCTGGGCTACAGGAGACCCAGGCTTTAGGGAGAAAAAAGAGTGAGCTTTAATCACAGAGGAAGATAGTAGTGCCTACTACCTAAGATTTAAATGTACGCTTCTTTGCAGTTACATGAGCAGTCCTGATTTGGTGGGAATATCTGATTAAGTAGTTTTTTTTTTTCTTTTTGAGGCTTTAATTTTATTCAAAAATTACTGTGAAACTTTGTAACTCCTTATAGTTTACAGTACTGTCAACATCACTATTTCCATAAGAAAGCATTCTCTTTACACTACCAATAAATAAACTGTTTTTATGTTGCTTTAAATATATTTGTTGGGTAAACGATACACACACAAACTGAGAAAAAGTAACATGCATTTAAAATTTAGGTAGTTCTCTGATTTTTAAGGGCCATATGCTGTTTAGGATTAAACGGAGATGTTAATAGGAAGACCAGAAAAATAATATCACTCTCACACAACCAGTGATAAATGATTAATCAGCACAGAGGATGCTCAGTGGTAGAAATAGAAAGCATATTCTAAAGCAGGCTCCATTTACTGAAGGACAGATAGCTTTCCTCTGAGGCTTAAAAATTATAAGTGATATAAATGCCTACATGTGGGTTTTTGTATGGACATAAGCATCATATGGAGACTGGTCATGAGCCACACTGTTACTTGGGTGGTGCTGGGACCTAATAATCCATGCCATCAGTGTTTAAGGCCATATGGCGGCTGCAGTTGCTACTGTCATATGCAAAGTACAGGCAAAAGGTCAAACAGAGGTTTTTCCTGGTTCTGTCAGACCCCTTTGAGCAGCTTTGCTTAGCGAGTAAAACTTTGACAAAGGTCAAAACTTTGACAAAGGAAGCGGGAGAGGGTCTTGTTTTGTGAAGAGCTAAAATCTGGCTAACGGGGGATGAAAGGAAAGATTAATGTCAGAATTGCACCTAGCAGTCCTTGGCCTGTTCCCTCCTACTTAGATCTGATTGGCAGCAAGCTGACCAGAGAGTCAGGATTGGTGATGCCAAGGCCCAGTCTTGGACAGAGCCCAGCCTTTTCTGTCGGATAAGAAAAATAAACTTTTATAAGTTGCTATTTATTTGTAAGTCGAGTGTAGTGAAACCAAGTTGTAGTCACTGCAAGGGTCTCCACTTACCTTCCCAGAGAGGCCTAAGTTAAGAAGCCCTTTTCTGGAGAACCACACCCTGGGAGGTTACCAACCATAAGCAGTGGTTACGGGTGGGCTCGGGAAGAGCCCTCCACGCTCACTTTTCATCACTAGCAAGCCAGTCAACATCACATGACGACCACAATCATCACTCCAAGCTGATTTGATTTTAACGGTCAAAATTATTTCAAAATAAGTATTTAAAATTTGCATCACTAGTATCAAAGGGGGGGAGGGAAGCGCCATCTTTTCTCCCCATGGGACATTCATTAAAATGTGTTTTTCAACCAGTCACTGTACCGGCACTGGAGACAGCTACTGGTCAGAATATTTCAACACAGTTCATTCAAACGACTCAAAGTCTCCTGTATAGTGTAAGTGAAACTTTGATTTATACCTTGAACCGGTGAGATACTATGGTTAAACCGGGTAGGAAATGTAAAATGACATGGGCCAATCCTGAGGACAGGTGCTTGGGTTAAACACCAAAAACTATCTTTGCTTTCAGAAATGCAATCACTGATGGCACACGGGTAAAGTGTGTGTGTGAATCCAATAGGGAAAATGTTCAGTTAACCTACGTTAGACTCTTGAGAATGTATAATTCCAAGCATTATGAGATTTATTTTGGGCTTAATTTTTTATTTAACAGTTTATGTGTGTGTGTGTGTGTGTGTGTGTGTACCTGTGTGAGTTAATGTGGAACATCTGTGTGTACAGGAGGAGCCTGAGAAGCCAGAAGAGGGCATCAGATCCTCAGGTGGTTGTGAGCCGCTATGTAGGTGCTAGGAACAGAAAATGGATGCATTGTGTGTGTGTGTGTGTGTGTCACACACATGTATGAGTCATACACAAGTCACAGTGACCATATGGAGGCCAGAGGCCCACTTTCGGGAGCTGGTTTTTGAGGCACAGTCTCTCTTGCTGCTGAAGTAACTTTGCAAATCATCCCAGGGTGGCTGACCCTAGTGCTTCTCAGTGATTTTCCTGTTTTTCTCTCCTATCTTGCCTGACACCCCCGCCCAACCCTCCACCCTGCAAATTTAACTACAGATGACTTAAAGGAAATGTTCTCAGAAAGTTCACTCCATTCTATAATGTAGGGGCTGGATTTATTTTTAAACTTATAAATGAAGCAGATCAAACTGATTTAAATTGCACACATGGAAAAAGCAGATGCTAGCTATCTCTCTTACAATTTAGAGCAGTAATAATAACCATCATTTAAATCCTTCTCAAAAACCATTTTTCCATTGCCAGTGCTATTCAAGCTTGAGCTCATTTCAGGGTATTTTTTTTTTTTTTATCAGACTTAACTGACCCAGAATAAAAAATGTTCTCATATTCTACCTGGGTAAACAAAATTAGTCCTAAGGCTATTGCTCATTTCTTGGGTATGTGATGAATATCAAACTTGAGGGCAAGCCCAAATCCATGTCTGCTGAATAAATTTAGGATGCAAATGAGTATTTTCATGAGTCTGGAGAGATGGCTCAGTGACTAGAGGGCCTGCGCTTTTCAGAAAACAGCTCAGTTCCCAGCTCCTATGTCAAGAGGCTTAACAACTACCTGTCCCTCGAGCTCCAGGTTCCTGTGTCTTCTGCTGGCCTGTGGGTACCCGGATGCACAATGCACTCCTCACATCCACATACATAAATATATATATAATTTTATATATATATATATATATATTTTTTTTTTTTTGCAAAAAAAAAAAAGATGTAACTGCTACACCTCAGAGCTCCCATTTGAGTAGGACTTATCGTTTAGGCTTAGTTAATATAGTACTCTGCTTGTAAAAACACATTTAAGTATTAAGCATCTTCTTTTAGGCCACAAAACACTGCACTCTCCAGAACACAAACACTTCTGATAATCTACTAAGAATTACTGTCTTGGTACAACGAGAGGAATGTTTTCTAGAGGGTAACGCAGTTGCACTGGCTACGGCTTCTGCACTTTGACCAAATTCAGTACCTTCATGTCTTCTAGTGGTTGGGTTATGATGAGAGATTTGCTTTGACATTTGATACAGCTTTCATTTTAGCAGGCGTCATATACTTGTATCATCGTTTAGTTTTGATGTGCACGTGTTTGTGTGTGCGGATGCATATAGACAGATGTGTGGTTTGTTCATGCGTGCAGAGGCCAACGATCTACACAGCAGGTCTTTCTAACTTGCCCTCCACCTTATTCTGAGACAGGTCTCTCTGAGCCTGGGGCTCAATGATTTGGCTAGCATTCTGCCTAGTCTCCATCTCTGCAGACCTATATGCTTATTTTATGGCATTTATCATCTTCCTTATTACCAAAATTTTGTTTCTCTGGATGAGCAGACATAATTTTGCCAAAGACTCCTTTATTCCTTTTAGCCAGCCATACACAACTTTCAGTGTGTGTGTGGGTGTGGGGGAGGTTAGCCCTCTACTATGTCTCCCATCTTGTACTATAACACATACAAGTTCAGCATATGTATGATGTAAGCCTCTAGAAGGAAGATGACACCGAGCGAACCTAGTACAATCCATTAACCAGCGGACTGGCTACTCAAAAAACATTGCAACCTGCTAATTCTCCAGAAGCTAAGCCACAGAAACACTAGCTATGAAAAGGCCCCACAGTTCTGCGCATGCGTCGTGTGTGTGTGTGTGTGTGCGCGCGCGCGCGCGCGCGCGCACGTGCAAGTGTTCATTTCACATTTTAAGGTCGGTCTTTGCTTTAGGAGCTCTAACACTGTGTATTCTGAACTGCCTCAGCTAGGACGCTCAGAATAATTAATCTATTATTTTATCATTATCACAGCTAACAATGATAGGAACAGTACTCTCCTTTTGATATGCTAAAGGACTGAACAAATCCTTAATAGAAATATAAACTTTATACACTCCATTTCTTGGGCCAAGTTCTCACAGATGAAAGAAAAGCACAGGAGATGTGACTATGCTAGAAAGGCCATCACTCTATGCATTCTAGAACATGATTTATCGGAAAGGGATTGTTTCAGCGATGTTATTCATTGTAATTGTAAAATGGCAGCATGTGGCAAAAAAAAAAAATATGATATAGTAGACTTCTATTATGCATGGTTTTCTCTGTGTGTGTATACCTGTGGAAGCCAGAAGTTGGTGTTGTGTTTTTTTCTACCACTCATGACCTTATTTTACAGGGTCTCTCACTCTCACTGAGTTTAGAGATCGTTGGCTAGACTGGCTGGCCACAGAACTCCTGAAAACCCTCCTGCCTCCACTCAGCCCCGGTTCTGAGGTTTGAGACACACGCCGCATGCCTTATTGTGTTGTTGGCGTGGATGCTGTGGACTGACATCAGGTGCCTACGCTTGTGGAACGGTGGTTTTACTGAGTGGTCCCTCCAGCTCCTGTCATTCTAATCTTAAATCCAGGACAGAATAATCCTGCTTTGGCTGTTCTAATTGCTGCGCATTGACAATGAAAGGTTTTCCTGTTCTGGCATACGTGACAGAGAAAGCAACTATGCATACATATATATATTTTAGCTCCATTTACTAAGAAAACAACACGTTTCTTTTTGAGACTAATAAGACATCAACAATGTGTCACAGAAAAAGAGTTTTGATTTACTGTCTAGTTACTCATGTAGTCTCTAAAGTCCAGTTTAGAAACACAACAAAATCAGAGAGCTCTAAATTATCATTGCTGTCATATACAGTTTCACACAATACAAAGGCTTTCTTATTAGTATTGTATATTAATTTTTAGTTATCCTTGTACTCCATTCGTTTTTAGTCTTTCCCAACAACAGCCATCACCATCCATGCAGCTGCAGCATGACGAGATGGTAGAGGCGCAGCCCACTTGGAAACATTAGGACAGTAACAGCCACACCGATGGATGGGAGTGGTTACAAGGTGCATGCTCTGCTTCAGCTATGAGAGTCAGAGAGTGGTCCTGACAGGAAGACGCTGCTGAGATTCTCACAGGAAAAGCAGGCGAGTGAGTCAGACCACAAACAAATGTGTGTGTGTGTGTGGGGGGGGGATGACTGCACATTTGCATGATGCAAGCCAAGCAGAAAGCATGCTGCGACAGAGGACACACACGGGAAGAGACTCTGCATTGTGAGAAATTTCCAAAAGCCAAAAAGAAGCGCCAAAAAAAAAAAGAAAGAATAAAGGAAAAAAAATACCTTCAGATCCCGTCTTTCCAGATGCAAAAGTTCAGCCCCTCTGATGTCATGACGGATGAAGATGTCTTTGTACTCTCCCAAATTGAGCAGATCCAGCCAAGCAGCAACTTCCTCTGTGCCCCAATTCTGAACTACCAAAGTTAAGAGCAAAACCCCCTTAATATCTGCATGCGCGATGCATTATGAAGCAGAGGTCAGCCAGAGAAGATGCAACACGCACAGCAGTGGGCGCTAGCAAAGGGAAGGTGGAAGGTGGTGCCTCACAGAGCTCCCCGCCCCCTCCCCATGCAGGTTACAGACCGCAAAGGACGGAACCCGACTGTAGAACGATGGGGGCCACCTGCGCCCTCGCCTTTAGCCGGAATCCAGCTTTGCAGCTAAACCACGAAATGTGCACTAGGGCATTAATTTTGCACCATTAGGCTCGATGATAAAACAAAACAAAACAAAACAAAACAAAACAAAACAAAACAAAAAAACCATAATGAGGTCTGACCACAGGTGAAATGTTTAGAAACGAGCTACAGATGCTACTTCGAGTTAGAAATCTGATCTGGGCTGCTTGGTTTTATACATGTATCTGCTTAAGATCTTGCTGACTTTCAAGCGGTGCCTCTATTGACTCGGTTATTGATAGTTTCAAAAATAAATGGCCTCAGATCACTTCAATGTCATTAAAAAACTTTTCAGACTGCTGTCCAAGACTAGTTGACTATGCTGCTTTTCAGTATGGATAACAGTAAAGATTCTTTCGAATCTTTTATTCAACCTGAGTTAGCATAATAAAAAATACTTTTCCCCCCACTGTGTTTGGTTTTTGAACATGCCTCAACAACTATCCCTTTCATATCACTTTTTATAAAGACCACAGGGCTAACTCAGAAAAACTTATAAAATTTATAATATAAAATGTATGAAATTCTTCTAAGAATTTATAAAGTAATTTTGTTATGAAAGGCAGAGCTAGACACGGAACTCCCATGGTGCTAGCACAGACAGCATAGAGTTCAACTCTAGGGGAAGAGGACTAGGAAAAGTAGCAGGCTGAAGCAGAAGGCTTCATCTTTGCTGAGGATGTAAGCGGCACACACAATGGCATTATCAAAGGGTGCGACGGTGTCCTTAAAACAGAAAAAAGGGGATTCGGAACTTCAGTGAAAAAACATATTTAGCGAGCTGAGCAAAAGAAAATGTCTGTGCTCTCCTTATCAAAGCGATCTGGACCTTTAAGTCTGAGAAGAAAATGAAGTTACACACTGATGTCTGAGGCAGCTGTTGCAAAGATAAAGGCCCCTTGGAATGGACACAGTAACTCAACTGGACCGGACAGAAACAACTCAGTGACTGCGCCATCTCCTCCTTACATTTATAACCATAGCTTCTCACCATAATGGGACTTACTGGGTATGATATGACTTTCATGGTTCAACGTACCATTTTAACTATTCTAAAGTATACAGTTAAACGATTTTTAGTATATTTACAATGCTGGGCAACGCTCACTGCTACCTAGTTCTAGAACACTCCCTGTCCCTCACCAATACCTTTTCAGTAAGTTTTTTTTTTTTTTTACCCCCACCATGGGACCACCTACCAGGCTGTGAACTCATTTTCTGTTTCTGGGCCTTTTCCTTTTTAAACTTTGGCACTATACGAAAGACTGTGCTTTTGCTGTTTCTTTTGGTGCAATCCATAGGAGGCTCCTGCCAAAACCAAGCAAAAGAAGAACTGTTTGATGAGGTTAGGGGAAGAAAAGCCCAATTCTGTTAGCAGGTATAAAATAAGAGCGGTGTCCTCATTAGGATTTCTGTTCCTGTAGTGAGACACCATGAACGAAAGTAACCTGAAGAGGAAAACAGTCATATTTCAGCTTACACTTCCGTATCACAGTGTATCAATGAGGGAAGTCAGGGTAGGAACTCAAACAGGGCAGGAACCGAGAGGCAGGAGCTGACATAGAGGCCATGGAGGGGTGCTGGTCTGCTTGTCCTGGCTTAGCTTAGCCTGCTTTCTAACAGGACCCAGAGCACCTGCCCAGTGGTGGCTTCCCCCCACAGGGGGCTGAGTCTTTCCCCATAGGTCACTAATTGGGAAAATGTCCAACAGGCTTCCCTACAGCACAATCTGGTAGGTGCGTTTTCTCAACCGAGGTTCCCTCTTCCCAAATAACTCTAGCGTTGTCTGGCCGACCTAAAACTAGCCAGCGCAAATGGGCTCTGAATACTGAACACGTACCACTCTACTCAACGCCCACATTCACCAAAAGGCCCATTCTCTCTCAACGACAAAACATTTCAAAGACGTATTCAAGATCCACTTCCCCGAAACGTCTCTTTTTCAAAGTTAAGTTCACACACTCTAAAGTCTCACCGCCCGCGTTCGTCAACAGGCTGGACTGCACGCACCTCGTCCTCGTTGGGGCGGAGGATGTAATAAAGCCAGGGGATCTCGGTTAACTTCTGCAGCTCCACCTCCACAGAGTGTAAGGCACTGGACACCCGCTCTTCGTGGGGAGACTCCAACTGCTGGGCACGAGCAGGGGGAGAAGGTGAAAGAGCGAGAGTCAGTGACCAGCTTCACAGGACAACGGGGCCACTTCGAGCGTTCTTCCTTCTGACAAGCTGGTTGCTTTAGTCCTAACCCCCAAAGTTCATACACATAACTGCTGCAACTGAGTATTTTCCCCTCCCAAAGTACCGCTCTTAGTACTCTTAGTATGTCTTGGATGTCATACCCTCCCTCCCCCATCCTAACTCCCCTTCAGCGCTTCCAAGCACATACCTGTGAACTGTCATATTTAAGTCAAAATTCTTCTAACTTCTATAGACTTTGTTCCAATAAACAAGTAACAGTTAAAAAAAAAAACAAAAAAAAAACCAAATCAAATACCTGTTACATAAAAAGCGCATCACACAAACGCACACACACAAACACACACATCTCTTAGAAAATCAAAAGAACAAGTTTAAGGGAAAAATAAATCTCTGAAAAAATTGTGATGGAGAACTATTACAAAGAATCAGGATAAAGGCAAAAGCCAAAGGGCAAGTAATGTGGAACCGGATGTGGATACTTTATAGAGAATAAACTGTCGTTGGTTATTCACCGTAACTTATTTGAGGAAGTTATTACAGTGCACAGAGCTGGAAGCCAGCTGTCGGGGTTCTCGTCCTCGCCTGGTTAGGGAGAGTGACTGGTTTCACTCACCTTAGTTTCCTCTGTTGGACACAGCACAACGTGAGGAGAGCACTTCTGAGGACTCTTTCCGCTAACCAGTATCTTTCTAGACTATTTTAAAACTTCGCAGTCCCTACGCTGAGGTTCACAGAATTTTAGAAAGGAAAGCTCTAAGGGTATCATTATTGTCTGTTATAAGCATCTTCTTGTTGTGGATTCCCTGTGATACTGAAAGTATCTCCCAGTAGCTAATAAAAATAAGGAGTTTCCACCCTTACTGTATGACATTTGCCAGTTTCCTTTTAGTATAAGAATTTATGGCTTACAAAACTTATTAGATAGTATTTCACATTAGAAGTAAAATGAAAAATAAACTTTAGTTGTTCTTAAATATACTAAACTCTATTATCTTATCTTATCATTATTGTTAGGAGTTTGTGTAAAATTTACACATATTTGGGACATATTTCAAACCAAACATCTATGTTTGAGGATCAAAGAGGACAGAAATGGAGGTGGATGTTATGTTTTACTATAATATAATACATAGAGTAAAGGAGGTACTTTTGTTGTTAAGGATAAAGTTATGCTTCTATTTCTTATCATAAATGACCTTAAAAGACTTTAATTACACACAAAAAGGTACATTTCAATTTGAAATCTGGAACCTTAATCACAGCCCACAGGATTTCTAGTAGGCTTATTTCGTTACAGCAATAGAAGAGTCTGGTTAACACAAGCAGTGTCAACAATAGCCAGGAGGGGCCTTCGCTGACCTTCCCAATAAGTAACCAATGCTTCTTCCTACTAGTGCTATACAACAGGAGTGGAGCCCGCCACCCTGGCCTGGGATGTGGGCTTCATTTCCCCAGGAGGTTGTAAGATTACAGGGCCCAAGAAAGCCTCTGGGTTTCTGAAGCAGAAAGGAGATTCCTGTGGCAGCGTCTTGCTGGACCACAGTCACACGCAGCAGGAAGTCCAAGCTCCAGGTGCCCAACCCACCGCTTCAGGTAGTATAATTTTATGTAGGTTTCTATTTGCCCAAACAGTTTAAACTGCTATGATCACAACTGCTTTGAGATCATTCTAAGGGATAGGGGGAAGGGGAGGACAGCTAATGGAGTAGGCCTTCCATATGCCTAACTCTAGGAAGTGACAAGACTCAATGTTAGAACATTCAAAAACCATTCAGGTGTTTTTACAGAAAGGCTATCTTTATGCTCCAGGTCTGTGGGCTTTATCCAGATTCACACTTTCTTAACAGTTGATTCCCAGGACCACACTGGAGTTAAATAAAACAGAGACAGCTCTTGAAACACAATGCTCATAAGAGCAAATCCGGACGATCATGCCAATCATACTTCCACACTGAGACTGGGACTGAGACTGTCATTTCACCTAAACTTGTGCGCGTATGAGTAGCTGAGGAATGTCCACTCTATTTACACAGCTCAAATCTCTCAAAGTTGACCAGGGAGAGAGGGGTGTCATGAGAACATGACAACCTGAATCACAGCTCAAAAGTTCAGCAGTGCTTTCCTGAAGGCAGAAGTCTGGCCAAAAGGAAGGTCCCAGAATGGAGGTCAGAGTCTGCTCAAAACATGTTCACTAGTGAAGCACTTTTCATCTCGCCATCTGTAGTGTTGCCATAGTTAGCCTCAGGCGTCAACACGACACAAATGTAGAGTCACGTGGGAAAAAGGCACCTCACATGGGGAATTTCCTTTATCGGGCTGGCCTGTGCTGGGTCTGTAGGTTATTTTCTTAATTGCTAACTAATGAAGAACCGTCCAGCCCACGGTGGGCAGCACCATGCCCGGGCAGCTGGCTCTGGGCTGTTGAACTTGAGCACAGAAGCCAGACAGTAAACCAAGTTCCTCTATGGGCTGTAACTCACTCCCTCTCTCCGGGATCCTGGCCTGACTTTCCTCAGTGATGGATCATAACCTGGGAGCTATAAGATGCAATAATCCCCTTCTTCACTAATTTGCTTTGGGTCACAGTGCATCACAAGCAAAGAAGCAAACTAGAACCACTCTCAGGCATTTCTTTTTCTTACCAAAGGGACCCTGCCAACTAGCAAAGACTCTGTTTCATTATATAGCGCCTTAACGTTGATGGCTATTTCAGTGGCAGTATCTCTCGTAAGACTCTAGAAAAGAATAACAAAGATATACATATTTCCATATTAAATTAGAATCTCATCACCAAAAGATTCTGTAAATTTTATTCTCATCACAAGTGAATTTTTTTTAAAGATACCAAAATTCTATAACAAATACTTTTTTTTTTGTAATAGGTTTGTTAGTATTGTTACCTCTGTTAATTAATAAATCACAGAATCAAAGAATGAACTAATACGTATACACACGTGGGATCAGGACCCCTACATATATGGTATATATATGCTAGAACCAATATATATAAAAGTTAAATCAAATAACTTTCTTGAAGGAGGATATTATTCGAATACACAGGTGATCTTATCTTTGTGTAACATGGTTTGAACAGAGGAGGTCCAGCTATGCCTATTTTCACAGATTTTTGACAATTTGAAAAATCTTAAAGATGAACTGCATAGCCAAGAAATACTGAACTAAATTAAGAAAAGGTTAAAATAGGTCATGAATACATTAAAACACACACGCAGATTAAACAAGCACAGAGTGGAGGGGAGGAGCTGTCTCCTCAGCCGAGAGCGCTAGCTGTTCTCACAGGACCCGAGTTCGGTTCCTAGAACCAGATCAGATGGCTCACAACTCCTGTAACTCTAGCTTCACGGAATCCAAGGCCTTCTTCTGACCTCCTGACGTACCTGTAGCCACCTGCATATATCCCAAGACAGACACACAAATACACAGACACACAGAGTTCAAAGTAAAATAAACCTCTTTAAAAATGTACTCACGTATTCACACAACTAGTGTCTCACTCTCGGCTGAGGAAAGTGCACACAAGTGTGAAATGCCCTGTTGAATCACAACTTGGTGGAATGAACTGAAGAACGGACTTGATTATTGTAATAATTTCAGCTCCTTCCTTTTGCTCTTGTGGTGAGCTCAGATATCAATGGTGCCTGCTTAAAATTCTAAGTGACCCAACTAATCTCTGCCTGGACAGTTATCCAGGAAGTTACAGTGTTGCGGGAAAAGTGCTTTCTCGTGATTCCTGAATATCTTCCACCACATGCGGTATGTAAAATTTATGTTAAGGAGCTGGAGAGGTGGCTCGGCAGAGAAAGGCACCAGCTGCTCTTCCAGAGCCTCTGGGTCCAATTTTCAGTGCCCACACGGCAGGCAGCTCACAATCATCTGTAACTCCAGCCCCAGGGGATCTGACACCCTCACCTGGCCTCCAGGGGCACTGTATACTTAGGGTGCACGAACATACATTCAGGGAAACACTCATAAACTAAAATAAATACCTACACATAAAATTTAACTAACTAAAATAAAAAAAAAAACATGTTTAAGTGACTAATATTACTGGTCAGCAGCAGACGATTACAGTAGTCAAGCTGTGGGAGAGTCACGGATTATACGCTGATTTTTGTACTTTAATCATGAGCAATAACATTTACCAGAACACTAATTCGGATAATTTCAATCGAATAATTAAAAGAATAAAACAATAGTATCAGCTATCCCTAGACTCCCATTGTACAGCAGTTCATGTTTGAAGAGTTACACTGTATCCACTCACATTAAAAGCTACAGAAACATCAACTTACAATTCAGCAAAAAGTGAAGCACAGTATCAGAGCTCAACCAGGATATGACTGAACATCTCCAGCCAAGCTCCTCCTCCGGTCATTTCTAGATTTGTCCTTTAAGATCCAGGGACAGAGTAAAGGACAAGGAAGAAGGGAGGAAGGAAGATGACAACAGAAGGAAAACTTTGGCCCATGAGAGGATTCAGCAGGTAAAGGCATTTGCCGCCCAACTTGGCATCCCAGTTTAATCCCTAGAAGCCACATGGTGGAAGGAGAGAACTCTTTCATGCACGTTGTTTTCTGAGCTCTCTCTCTCTCTCTCTCTCTCTGTGTGTGTGTGTGTGTGTGTGTGTGTGTGTGTGTGTCAGAAAAAGGCAAACAAAATTGTGGCCACAAATTTTCTGTAAGCTTCTTGCAGAAACTCATGAAGAAACTATGATGGTTAGATTGTCAACTTGACACAAGCTAGGGTCTTCTGGGAAGAGCAAACCTCTCAACTGAGAAAATGACTCCATCAGACTGGCCTGCAGGCAGGTCTGCGGCGCATTTTCTTGGTTGATGATTGCTGTAGGAGGCCCTGCCCACTGTGGTCGGTGCCACCAGTGGGGAGCGGTCCTGGGAGGGATAAGGCAACTGAAGGTGAGCATGAAAAGCAAGGAAGAGCAGCATTCCTCCATGGTGCCTGCCTGAGTTGCTAGGCTAACTTCATGAAGACTGTGATGGAGAAAAGGAAGCTCCTTTTGGTTACAGTGTTTTAACCACAGCAACAGAAAGACACTCCTCTCTTCCCCAGGGAATGTCTCTACAGTACTCTACAGGAGGCGAGATGCCAAAAGAATCTGTGGAGTGCGCATTTACCATTAACTCCTCACCTCCGGGAAGCGCGGGTTGGCTTTGTTCAGAGCATGTGAGCACGCGTTCACCGCGTGAGCTAGTTCCTGCTCCAGGAGACAGTGAATCGTGGCTGCATCGCAAATCCTGGAAGTAAAGTGAGACAAGATAAACAAGGCAAGTCATCACTGATGACTAGCTAGCCTTCTGAAGAGTCTGCCCTTGCCTGGAAACGGCAGTGCTGAGAAGTGAGAAAGGCCCCAGACATGGCACGGCTTTCAAGTCACCAAGACAGTCACTTGCTTGTGGGTTCACTGTGGTGCTGGGGTTGAACCCAGGACCTTGTACACCCAAAGCTGTTGTACTCCAGTTATACCCCAGTCCAGAAATTTGTCTTTCATTCTCTGAGACTTCAGATGCAACACAGCAGGGTATGGCTTACCACATTTATCACCTACTTGCTAACTGCTTTATACTTACTATAAAGTTTAATGCACACAGCCTATGACAATAAATGTTCTCAAGCCTGCAGATGAAGGCGTGGAGGCTCACAGAGATTGAATATAAGTACAGAGCCAATTAGCGGCAGGCTGAGAATCCGTTTCCGCTCCATGGCTAAGAGTTAGGTCTTCCAACCATGCTCTAAGAGGAGGGGTTGAAGATCTTGTCATAGCCTCTCTTCCACTCTGATATTCAGTTCTGTTGCAGTGATTTTATATCTTGTTTGTTTTCTGAGGCAGGGTCTCTCTGTGACAGCCTTGACTGTCCTGGAACTCACTGTGTAGAACAGGCCGGCTTCTGCCTCCCAAGTGCTGGGGTTAAAGATGAGTGCCATGGCCACCGCCTGGCCTAATTTTTTTTTTTTTAAATCTTTTGCACGCATCAAACTTATTTTTCTAAGATCTCTTCCCTTTGTGTCCTGAAAGATAACTTCTGTGTGTGGAGCGCATTGCCTGAAGCGATTCTACACCTGTTCATTCTGTCTCATGACCTTCTGTGGCATCATGTCTCATGTTCAGAGTTCTCCCAACATCGCATTCACAGGGAGTAGTTACAGGGCAGCAGGTACGTGGCTGGTGCAGAAACTAATGAAAAGCGCACTGTGTGGCAGGGCAAATTTACCAGAGGTTTCCGAGCCGTGTAAGATGCAGACTACAGGAGCTTGTGCGGAAGATCTGGTAAAGGGGATGAGACAGGGCTGAGGCCCACAGGAGGGAGCTAATGAAATGAGCTAACACATCGCACATTAAAACCCTAAGCGGCAAAAATTCCGTCAGAGAAGAAAACAAACTGGCTAAGACCCGAGTTCTCCCAGGCAAAGCTGAAGCCGAGGCTCCTCACCTAGTGATGAGCTCCTCCGCGGCCTGGGAGCAGAGGCGCATCTGCGACAGCTCTTCTGTTGCCAGGTCAGCTGCAGGATGGACGTACACGTTTGTCCGAAGAACTGGCTTACTGGGGTCACATTTCTGCTTGTCTTCCCAAGACTTCAGAGTGCTTTCAAAGGCCTAGTCAAAACCGGGGTGGCAAGGAATGGTCAAGTCAGAGCTCAGAGACTAACATAAGTGGCCACACACACACACACACACACACACACACACAGGAATAGAGATACGCGATAGCTAGGTATTACATGAAATGAAAGAGTCTGAAACTCGGAGCGCTTTGCTGTGCTCTGAGGACCCATTAAATTGGCGAAAGGGGTCTTTCAAGTTTTTTAGTGTATCCCATCAAAGAGCGAGTAATGTGATCAGTGAAGACGGTCACACCACTGATGTTAATCGTGCTTCTGCTTCCATCTTTATCTACTCCCCTAGCGTTCGATCACAATTTTACTTTGCTCTTTTACTAGATGGTATGAATACCGTCAGCTTTATTTTATTAACAAAAAACACTTATTTGGGGGAAGACCAAACTATAGATGTGGTTAGAAAGATCATGGCTGTCAGGGCTAAGGGTGAGAAAGAAAAAAGAAGATGTAGAACACACTGGGGAACAACAGGAAGAGCAATGTGTGTGTGTGGTTGAGACTCTCATTGTATAGCCCTGGCTGGCCTGCAACTCATTACATAGACCAGACTGGCTTGAACTAAAGAAGGTCCCCAGTTTCTGCCTCCCAAGTGTTGGAATTAAATGTTTAATTTAATGTCTGGCAGTTAATAATATATTATTAGGTTAGCAAGTGTCTAGACTGTACTGTTAGTACAAAATATCAACAATAGGTATCTATGTGTGCTGAGGGTAGACAGAAAGAAATATATAGGAACAGAATTAGGAGTTCTATGTACTCGCTCTTCAATTGCTTGGTAAACCTAAACATTGTAAACAAACAAACAAACAAAAAAGCACTTAATTTAAAATAAAACCGAATAAACATTTGTTTGCATTTAAAACTACAGTGAGCCGACGGCTGCAAATATACTAGTTGGTATACTTAAGAGATGATTTAAATTCCTCTCCATGTCTTCTATTTTTCATAATTTCCAACTTTTAAAAAAAGTTGATAAAGCTGTTGGAGAACATTTGGAAGACAGAGAGCGTGTGATGCTCTGGCAGAGGACCCAGACCCTTAGCAGGAGGCTCACATCCACTTGTAACTCCAGCTCCAGGGGGCTCCAGCGCCCCCTACTGGCTTGTGCGAGCACGGCAATCACATACACAACACCTCCCCGGCCCCAGCACACACATAATTAAAAATTAAAATTAGAGTTACGTACTCTGTCTCTCGTTAGCATCTGAGCTCTGTTTTTGTGTACTATTTTGATGATCCCGGGAGGCTGAACCCATGCTTCACCATCCACCTGCACTGGGACGCCCTCGTCACCAAATATAGTGATTTTTACCGTGCGGCACTGAAATAAAGCCAACATGTTATTTGAGACCACGAATCAACCCGGGAATGGACGCACTGTTTATTATCTGGGTTTGGCTTAACTCCACTCTGGGGGGCAGAACAGTACGCCTCAGCACTGCAATGGTGCATTTTTACAGAAGCCATCAGTGTAGCGGGCATCAGGAATAGCTTCCTTCCATGCCCCATGACCCAAGAAACCTAGCGAGTTTTGATCTGAGAAGCCGACCTGTGCTATCCGATGATGCTGCAACTTAATGACCCTCGATACTGCCATCTGCACGCTGTCAAACACGGCCACGACTTCCAGAATCTTGTCATCAAATGAGGGCGCGGCAAATATCTAAAAGGGAAAACTGTATTACACACATTTCCCTCAACGGGTTAGGTACAGTGGAATGCCGGGCCCCAAACCCCGCCATACAGATAGGCCCAAAACATAAAAAAGTGACAAGGTAAATGTCAGAAGGTAACAGCCCAAGGAAATAATCACCGAAGACAGCTTAGAATAAACATCATTTCAAAAAGGTTTCAATGTCCACGTGAGTATACGCAAACGTCTTATTCGGCACTCCTGGGACTAACACAATTCTAAGTGGTTCATCTTGATATGGATTGCTGAATACTTCATATGTAATTGGCAGACATTTTGATAACATGACATATAATTTTCAGAAAGCTACTCAGGGCCTAAAATTGACACTAGTGAACATGCAAATATCATGAACCTATGCACTTGGCATGTTTTAAAGACATTCTTTCAAAGTATTCTGAGCAACGTACATTTGTGCTGTTATCTTTTTAAATGATTTATCTTCGTCTTATAATTATATGTATGTCGGTGTATCTGCAGAGGAGTGCAGATAGCTGAAGGGACCAAAAGGGTGTTAGCTTTTATCAGCAGGACACAGACTATAACTGGCAAGAGGAGGCCTCAGTCAAAGAATTGCCTCTATCAGACTGGCTTGTAGCCATGTCTCTCCGGTATATTCTCGACTACTGATTGATGTGGGAGAGCCCGAGTAGGAAGTACCCCCCTTGAGCAGGAAGTCCTAGAGAGTAGGCTGAGCAAGCCACGGAGAGACGAGTCAGCCAGCAGCATGGTCTCTGCTTCAGCTCCTGCCTCGAGTTCCTGCCCCGATTTCCCTGCATAATCACCCGTGACCAGTACAGGAGGGATAATAAACCCTTTCCTCCTCGTGTTGCTGTTGGTCATGGAGTTTTTCATAGCAACAGAAAGCAAACAAGGACAGACCGCCTGGAGCGGCAGGTGGCTAGAGGTGGTTGTGAGCTGGCGCTGGTGCTGGGTGCTGGGAACTGAACCTGGGCCCTCTGCGAGAGCAGTAAGTGCCCTCAAGGGCTGAGCCATCTCTCCAGCCCTGTCCCTTATATTTTAACAAATTGCCTTTTGAGGCATTTGTGAGTGTGGACACAGGAACCTCAGGGAACAAAACTTCCCCAGACGCACTCTGCTTTTATATACAGTGCATGTTCACAAAACTCCATCCTGAGAATTTAACTTTGGTCGGCGTCAATTCGTTCATGGTACCTTCTCACTTACCATCATACGTAAATCTGACGGAGAAAAAGAATGTTCTAATTAAAACTTGTATTGGAAATACGAGCCCAGAAACTTGCTGACACTGATAATCTCATCTAAATTCTGTTATCAAACCGCCTGGATTCGAGTTGCTTCTCTGTTAGTAACTGTGGAAACTGTCTCCAGTATATGTTTGTTTGTTTGTTTGTTTGTTTGTTTGTTTGTTTGTTTTCCAATGGTGAAATCAAAAAAGGTTCGGGGCTGAGGATGTAGTTCAGTGTTACAAGGTTCAACCAGCATGTGCAAGGAGCTCCGTTCTAATCTCTAACACACACACAGAAAGAAAGAAAGAAAAACTCTGTGGGTGTTAAATAATGACTCTAAAGCTCTCAGAACACCCAGTGCCTGTGGATGCTCAGGAATGTCGACTTTATTTGTATTTTCTCATTCATTTTACACCTTTAAAATAGCTGAGTGGCAACCTGCTGGCAAAAAGAATGGGATGTCCTTCCACAGAACCAGACGCCAGCCACATTGCTAGCATTAGACCAGGCTGAGAACCTTCGAGATCATAAAAATACATCACTTTTCATGGTATGCCCACTTCAGTAGTGTGTTCTCTTTTTCATTCCTTTCAGAGCAACTGCTTTTGTTCCAGACAAATGTGATTGTGGCTGTTCTTTCACAATTCAGGGACCTATCACCAAAAAAAACCAAAACCAAACAAACGAACAAAAAACAGAAACAGCCCCAAACCTTGCCAGGTGTGGTGATGCACACCTTTAATGCCAGATCTCTGGAGAAAGTTGAGAGTACATTCACGAGAGACAAAGTGTTGAAGTGAGATGTTAGGACGAATTCTACCTCTCACCTTCCAAATATTGTAAAACACTTGTCACTCAAATGTCGAAACAGAACTGATACCACAGCGCACATCTGAAAAAGCTAGACACCCCAGTAATTTAATTACCACCGAAGAAACAAACCCTAGCCCCATCACGCTACTCACGTCGTCCTCTTTGGTTCCGCCCCAGAAGTTGGTGCCGCCCGCATAGCTGGGGATGTTCAACACTGCTATGCCTTGCAAGCTGGGGAGAGGAATGTACTGGCCATCACACTGCAAGGCAAAAAGCTCGGAGGTTAGAATGCCCACCATCCCGGCACTGGGAAGCGGATGTAGCAAGAGCAGGGACATCCTCAGCTACATAGCAAGTCCAAGGGCAGCCTGGGCTACGTGAGACCTTGTCTCAAAGATAAAATGCTTACAGGTCAGGCAGAAGGAGCGTTACTTTGGAGCTACTGAGACAGGCTTGTGCCTGGTGCTTACTTCCATGTCACAAAGGGCAAGGCATAGCATGATGTCCCCGGGGGCTCGCTCGCTTGTACATATACTCTCACACGTTCCAAAGGCCTTCCATTTTTCTCTTAATTACAATTTTTTAAAAGTATAAATAACTGAACAAGGAATTTTCATAAAAAAATTGAATTGAAAAGTGTGCTTTCCTTCGTCTTTCCTTGCAGTTCAGGCAGACTTTTCTTGACTCTGCTTCAGAACACCTAGCGGTTCTCAACCCTTTAATATAGTTCCTCCTGTTGAGGTGACCCACCCCCAACCATAAAATTATTTCCATCGCTACTTCATGGCTAATTCTGCCACCGTTATGAATCGTAATGGAATTACTTGCGTTTTCCGGTGGTCTTAGGAGACCCCTGTAGAAGGGTCATGTGATCCCCAAAGGGGTCGCGACCCATGGGTTGAGAACTCCTGTTCTAGCCTGAGTTTCCGCGGTCCTCTCTGTGGTTGGTTTAGTGGTTCTGTTCAGAGCAGGTTCTGTATGGGCTGGCTCTGAGCCCACTCCTGTCACTCAGAACCTCTCTGAACTCGGGACTCGCCTGGGTTTGGTAACTAACCAGCAGCCATCTGAGCTGAAAGCTGAGTGGGGGGTTGACGAGCTGGTAGGTAAAGGTACTTGCCACCAACCCGACAACTTGAGTTCAATACCTGGAACCCACATGTAGATGAAAAGCACAATTTCCCCAAGTTGTCCTCTGACCTGCATGTGTGTGTCTTGGTACTCTTGCACGCATGTGTGTGTGTGTGTGTGTGTGTGCCACACACACACACACACACACACACACACACGCACAAAGTTTTTAATCAAAGCTGTATTGTTCCTGTAGCTAAGATGCGTGCAAAGGCAAGGAAAACTCTGCATATTGAACAGCATCATGCACTTCCACCTTCCAATTCACCTAAATGAAAATTAAATTACCACTAGATGGGCAAGGAGGGCAATGACTGTCAGAGCACGGTATGAATGACTGCAGTGCCTGTGAGGACCAGAAGAGGGCGCTTGATTGCCTGGAACTGGAGTTAAAGCTGTTTATTAGCTCATGCTGGAGCCTGAATTCTCTGAAAGCATCCAATGCTCTTAAAGGCTGAGCCACCTCTTCAGTCCTAACCCTTTCCAGATTAAAAAAACAAAACAAAATAAAAACACACACCAAAAAAAAAAAAAAACACACACACACACACACAAAAAAACCAAACAAAAAAAAAAAAAATCACCAAAAAAACCCCAAACAAAACATAGCGACTACTAGATTATCCTTAGGACTCTGCATTAACTCTATAATGTTCTTGCTATTAAAAAGCATATTTGTCACGGAAATTTAGTTACCATCTAACAACTGAACATGTATGTGTGTTGCTTAGATAAATGTAATCACTGTAAACATCTATATGATCTGGGATTTGTTTTTATTTTGAAACGGGAGCTTTTTGTTTACAAGTTCATTAAAACCTAGAAACTGGAAGAAAAAAAAAAAACCTAGGTGTGGCGGCACACACCTGTAATTTTATACTTTTGGGGTGGAGGCAGGGGGATTGCTGCAAGTTCCAGACTAGTTGGAGAGTGAGACTCTGTCTTAAAATACAAAACAAGACAAACATACTTCTTTTATATTTACAAATGAGTGAATTTTCCTGAGTACAAGCAAAATTGGCATTTTCATAAATGTTGCTCCTCAAATGTATTTTAATTTTGTGGGATTTCTTTTTTGTTTTATTCTCTTTATTCATTCTCAACTAAAACTTGGATATGGACATAAGCAGTTAAGGAATGGGATATCATGAAAGCCTACATATGAATCTGCATTTTTCCATTTATTTATTTTTTATTTACATTCTCTCTGTACTTAAATTGCAAAAGAGCTTATGATCATTTTTTTCAGTGAGAAAACAGGACTACTTTGACCCACATAAGTAAGGCGTGCTATAGACAAGTCGCCGTTAATTAAAGTATGTAAATTTTAGTGAAACCTCCCATTTATTTTGCTGTAAAGGAACAAGCAAATATGTTATGATCTTGTGCTGGAGTTCCCATCACTGGGATAGGATCGTAAGCCTGTCCCCACGCTCTCAAAGCCGGGGCTATATGAGCACCCCACTGCCACGCAGCAAACCCCGCTTATATGGGCCCCTCACTTCTCAGTTTGCACTGTGACTTCTGTCTCGCCCAGTGAATTTGCATCAAGCACTTTTCCACCCACGTGCAGACAGAGAAGCCGCAGCCCAAGTCTTCGCTGGCACAAATTAAACTCCACACACGAAATCCATATCCTTCCATACCGAGGGGGAAAGAGTTATCTGTGCAAAATAGTGAATGAACGGTGAATGAACAGGACTAGCACACAATGCAGAAGCCTCCCGGGGAGGCCCTGCTCCGTCTGTATCCCACCCACACCGTCACCAAGGAGAAAAACCACGGGTCCTCTGTACTCACGCTCTTGGAAAGCATTTTACTCTTCCTTACTTAAAAAAAAAATGACAAGGAATTCTGAGCCTTTCTATTTCACTTTCCAGTATATATTAGCATGTTTTCACTTATCCTATTTTCCTAATTTTAGCTTCTTTTTTATCATTTAGTGTATATGTACCTCAGGCTGACTCGGGCTCATGATCCTCCTGCCTCCACACTTCAAGTGTTATGATTACAGGTATGAACAACCAGGCCAGGCTCCTCTAACATATGCTTGTATATACAGGTTCTTAACTTGAGGTTTGAAAATCAGGGGTCCATGGATAAATTCAAAGAGTGGATGCTTGTTGATTAAAAAAACATGTATCTTTTTATGTCCACTAAATATGGACTCAGCGTTACCCTCTGTTACAAGCATAGGCAACAAGCCAGACATTAACAGTACCTGTGACTGCATGATCGACGGACACCACACTATATCAAAGTACAGATGTTTCAGACATCACTTGTTTTCTTTTTGTTACACTTATCTAAGCATGTGCGGGGACATGCATGCACCATGGCACATGTGTGTGGTCAGAAGACAACTTGCAGGAGTCAGCTCTCCCCTCCCACCATGTGGGCTCCAGAAACTGAACCCTGGTTACCAGGCATGGCAGCAGGCACCTTTACCCATGGAGCCAACACTTGATTATAAGACAGCCTTTGAGTCAGGACATCAGCTATGGGCGAAGTAAGCATTCTTAGCATGTGTGAGGTTGGCAAGCCCATGATGAGCCGTTTAGAAGGCTAGGTATATTAAATGGTTTTGGAGTTGTTTTGTTTTTTGGCTTTGTCTTCTAAAAAAAAAAGGGGGGGTTACTCTATGTAGCCTTAGCTCCCCTGAAACTCCAGATCTGAATGTGGGCAACTGTCTTGCTTCCATACCAGAAGAGTTGGGATTACAGGCATGTGCCATCCTACCTGGCTCTATTTTTTAACCTCCCCCCGGCCCCAATTTATGAACAGATTCATCTGTAGGGAAAGGAGGAAGACAGCTTGAGTGAGTGAAATCCTGAGAGGATGGGTGTTGTTGACACAAGGTACAACCACGTCAAGGACGCTGGTAAGCCTCAGGCTCAGAGGCATGGCACAGCCTTCCTCGGGGGCCAAGTGCTAGTATAGACAGTATGTGCGGGAAATGCCCACCACAGCTTTCTGCTCCCTGGGAGTTTACGGCCGGAAGCTCTCCCTTACAGAGACCGCTCCTGATCCAGCTGTACACCGTAAACCCCGCCACCATGTTTATCACTATATAATAACCTGCCTCCTCGTTCAATTCTATATGCTGCAGTTCTTGGAGTGTTGCAGCTTCTGCAGGTGAGAGCCAAACACCAGTCCCAGCTTTCTGTCCATGGGTCTGTCTGTCATTTCTTCATTCCCTCATGTCCCAAAGCAGGTCCGTTCCTGGACCCATGCTGGACATAATTTGAGGAGCATCTCACCTTGCCAAATTATAATTTCTCTACCCACTTCAGCCTCGAGAAGATGTCAGCTACTGTATTATGCGCTAAGGTTCTCTAACTGTTTTTAAGGAGTGTGGCCAACTGGGGACATGGATCCAAAACAAAGGAACACATACAATACCACAGACACAAGGAGGACCCCTAAATGACTTGAGGTGGCTCTGTGATGGAGTCTTGACAAAGGCGAACCTTCCTGATTTTGTAGCCTCTTTACCCAGTAGTCTCTATTTTAATTTTATAAGCAACTACAAATCGCAGCGGCTGACTAGTAGTGCTATTTCCAGAGTGCAAAGGAGCAATGAGCTTCCTTTCTGGCATTTAGTTCATAACTGGATCATCTAGTTAGCCTACACCCCACTGTGAAGATGATGCCAAGGCAACAATACTCAGAGTGCTTAAGACTTAAGAGTTATATATCCCTCTGTATTAGTAGTATGCTTTAAATAAAAACAACTGACCAAAAAGGAAAATAAGACAGAAAAGATATGCCCTGGACCAAGGATAAAAGAAAATAAATTTATAGTAATGAAAGACTCCAAGGATTTCCAATCATCTATTTCCTGCTGTTGCAAGAAGTGAAGTAACTTTTGCTATCCTTAAGTTTCTACATAAATCAGGAAAAAATTCTGTCAAAATCTTAGTCTTTGACTGACTTGTTAGAAATAATCAGATCAAAATAAATATATTTAAACTAAAGTGTATGAACTGCAAACGTTATTTTCAAGGATTTTTACAAAGCATTCGGCATTGTAGAACTGGAACATTTAAGTGAAATAGTCCATTATTAAAGACACTGTCCTATTAAAGCACTTGCTGGGCTCCACCTCGATGGCCCCAGCTTCGGGAAGAAGAGAAAATGGTAAGGTTAAGTCTGTTCTAGACAGGGTTGGCACTACCTGCAGAATATGTTTATCCATAATTAAGAGGAATGTAGGTCATTTAGCGCCTCCACTACGTAGGATGAACCCCAATGTCTTTGCTTTAGGATGAACTCACCTCAAGTTGAACCCTTTGCTCAAGATTCTTGTATGATCTCTGTAATAACTCCCGGGTTCCCAGAACTCCATACCACATCAAGTTTTTAGTTCGGCTTCTGAAAAATAAATATTTTTTGTGTAATCTCAGGAAATGTTATTTATTTGCTCCTTAAAGCAAGAGACAATAAATGAAAAGAAAGCAAAATCGCCTTCACGTAACAACATTATTGCTGTTATTGAAATTACCTGCATTTTTCAGGGTGCTCCTCTCTCTTATTATTAAACTCTAATGAAATTTTTGCATCTAATCCAATCCCAAAGTAATTGTTCATGACACATTTCTCCGAGTAGCCATCTCTGTGATAATGAGGGAAAGTACATAAAAGTCAGTTTCAGATTCATTACAGCAAGTACAGCTTGTCTACCTGGTCGCACTGAACACCACGTGGCCGCCATTCTTCCTGGAGGATGCCAAGTAGAAATCATATCCTACAGATTCGCAATGTGCACAGGCCCAGTGCACGTACGTCATTTTTAGTCTGAGGCAAAGGCAAAGCAGAGACAGTCATTGCCTTTTTGTCTATTACGCTTGACAGCCTCAAGCCTTCTGTCTTCCACACAAGGCTCTGACTGCGCAGGCCAATGACGGTATTATGGGGGGAGGCTTTAAACTCAGGGGCACACTCCTCTCTCCTAACCATGCGAGAGTCTCTTCCACTTCAGCCCTTAACAACAGACAAACTGTAACAAATACATCATTATACATCCTGTTAATACTTGTTTGTTTGTTTGTTTTATTTTTACAATTTTGTTTTTATGAGGTGGATGGGTGTTGCACAAACGCCATGGCGTATGAATGAAGATCAAAAGATAATTTGCAGGAATCGATTCTCTCCTTCCACCATGGGTTGAGGTATTTGTCCCCAAACCTGATGACCTGAATTCAATTCCTGGCACACACATGGTATAATGATAGAACTGACCCCTGCAAGCCGTCCTCTGACCATCAGATACATTCCATGGTATGCGTGGGAGTGAGCGCGCGAACACAGACACACACGAATGCACATACAAACATACATACACAGACCTAGATAAATATAAATTTTTTAAATCCAAAATAAAATAAAATAAGATAAAATACTGTGCTTGAGAAATGCCACTACAAAAGAAAGATTAAAAAAAAAAAAAGCATTTTAGAATTCACACACATTTAGGAGGGAGTGAAGACCAGAGGTCAGATGGCCAGGTAAATGCCTGGTGGGCAAGGGAGCACACAGAAAGAAGGAACAGGGCCCAGAGCAAGCTGCCTGCACAATCCAGACTAGCCAAACCGGCAGGCTAACTCTAGGTTCACACGAGTGACCCTGCCTCAACATACAAAAGGATGACTATGCAGCGGGATGTGGAAAGATGACAGGATCAGCAGACCGAGACGTGGGGAAGGCAGGGGAGGGCGTACACACAGGTGCAAACCAGCACTCAGGTGCCCCTTCAGGGAGAGGCAAGAAGCCTGCACCAGAGAGAGGCTGCTGAACAGCAGGTGGGGAAGGGACCAGGCTCAGGACGGCCTGAGGGACAGCCCACGGATCCTGTCAGTCTCTGCTTCTCAGCATTTGCATCACCTTCTTTGCACAAAGAACCATATACTTGGGGACACAGGCAGAAGGTTAATGTTTGAACAAAACAGTAACAGACAAACAAGCAAAAAAAGCTGAAGCCAAATAACTTCAAAAGTGTTTCTCACAGGGAATCTAGATCTGGGTCAATAAACGGCGTTGCTCCGAAAGGATCAATGTTTGCCAGCAACATTTTGTTGATGATGGAACTCCCAGCAATGGAGGCGGCGAGTCCGGCCCTTAAACCTGACAGAAAAATACATTAGGATCACATGTTAATCAAAAGAGAGTCATATCTGGTCCACTCAAGCTGGCCTTGCCTCAAACGCCTTGCTGCCAAAGCCCGGTTTATTTCCAGCGGCCACTCAGTAGCCCAAACTCAAAGGATTCTGTTTATAAATGTGAAGTGTTTTAATAGATCCAGATGTCTGTATGTTGTAATAAGGAACCACAAAGAAATTCTTTATTACGTGAAAAGGAATATCCATGATACTTTCTCACTTATTATTCAGCAATTTTATGATTTGTAGCTTTCAGCATTTCACTTTCTACGCTAAAGTCATTCCTAATTATTTTGTCATTTTTGATGCAATTTCAAGTGGAACTTTTTTCTTTTCTGTTTTGTTTTTGTTTTCCTTTTTCCAAGACAGGTTTCTCTGTGTAGCCTTGGCTGTCCTGGATTTGCTTTGTAGACCAGGCTGGCCTTGAACTCACAGAGATCCACCTGCCTCTGCCTCCCCAGATTCTGGGATTAAAGGTGTGTGCTGCCATGCCTAGAGTTTATTCTGATATTTAGTTTCCTTTCTATTTCTTCTTGAATGGTGTGTTTAGGCATTGCCTGTTTCCTCTGGGTTCTGATTGGTCATTTATGCAGTTTACACTGCCATCACAATCTTATCTGTTTCTCTAAGCTCCTTGATTGTGTCTCAAGACTTCCGAATTCCTGATTTTAATCTTTCCTCTCCAAATTCTTGCTCGTTTCCTCTGTTTTTTATTCTTTTATTTATTTACACTCTCATGTTTACTGTCAGCTTTGCCTGTCAGCGTTCATCAATTTGCCCTTCTCCTAGTTTACCAAGGTGGGTGTCAGGTGGTTGATGTGAAATGAATGTGTATTTTCAAAGCGTGCATTTACGGCGTTACACTCCACTCTAAGTGTGTTTCAGCTACATCAGCTAAGTTTTAGGATGGTGCGTTTCTGTTCTCACGCATCTCAAAGTATTTTTTTTCTCTATTTTATTTATTAGTTGTAAGTGTTGCTTTTATTTCCTCAGATGAAGGGATGAGATAAGAGCCATTCCAAGCTTTTCTAGTTCTTTCTGAACTCTCGCTGGCTGGTTCGACTCAGCTGTTCTGGCCTAAAATCCTCTCCAAGGTGACTGATTCAAACTGCCTTCTTATTTGAATTGCTCTGTCTGAGTTCTACTGTCCCAGTAAGAAACTCTCAGTAAAAGTCTCTCCCTCTCTCCTTGCGCTGTTCTTAAGTAACCTCTCTTTCCTTTCCTGCTCTCATGAGACTTGGGCTTATCCTATCTCTGACCCATTCTGTCAAGTTTTTCTCTGATGTGTCACTTTGCCTGTCCCTCACTTTCCAACATGGCTGCTTCCTTCTATAAACTAACCTTCATGGTTTGGGATTAAAGGTGTGTACCAAGAGCGTACTGTATTCTAGTCACACCAGTCACACCATACAGTAATCCAGAGCTTGTCTGCATTCCAGCCAGATCACACTGCCCTACAGGGTCTCTTGCCAGAGCGGCCATGTTGCTGGATTAAAATTCCTCCACAATTAATTATTTACTATTCTTCTCATTTCTTCCCTTACATAGTTCCACATTTGTGTACTCCCCAAATCTCATCCTCCCACTGGCTCTGCTTTCACTCCACTGTGCTGAGAGTACAGCTGTGAGATGGTAATCCTTTTGATTTTTATTGAGAATGGTTTGTGATCTAACCGGCTTATACTCTACCCTTGAGGACATTTCACATACTCTTAAGAATGAGTGTTCTTCTGTGGTTGAGTGTTCTTTAGATGTTGACTGGCTCCTACTGTTTCATGTGACTTCTGGGAACTCTACTTCCCCGGTCATCTGTCTGGTGGTTCTGTCACTACTAAAAGGGAAGAGCAAAAGTCTCCAACCAGTGTTTGGATTATAGCTCATCTTTAAAAAGAAATTACGTGAGAAGGTACTTTCCATGGTCTACATGGATCCAACATACTCTGAATGAAGACCAAAAGGGAACGTATATTTAGGAAGCTCTAAGATGTATTTTTCTCCAGTTTCTGAGGAAGCTCTGACGCATTCTCCTCCAGCAGCTCCCTGTAGTCTTTGGTGTCTAATCCGAGGTAAACTCATTTCAACAAGACTGGAACAGACACTAGGCTGAAAATGTCTGCAGAGAAAGCAGTGGCTTCTTAAAACCACCAGGAAAGCTGTGGAGATACCTGGAGGTCACAGAAGGGGAGGTCAGCTCCAGTTCAGGTGCAAGCACCGGCCTAGAACCAATGACCTAACATTCTCAGGGCAGGGCCCAGAAACGTGTGTTTGACTAGATCCTATACAATTAGACATGGAAGAATGGACTAAGTTTGGCAGAATATTCTCCTAAAGGAAAGCTTGTCACTAATAACACCTCTCCGTAGCTCACGAATAAGAGAAGGTACACATTTTCACAGATATGTTAAAACATACACCGTGTCATACACTGCGGTACCTGGGCAGATGATTCTAGTGTTGAGCACAGGCAGATTTTCTTTGGTGGTGGCCACAACTGGACCAGCAACAGAATCGGTTTGGGAATGTCCACGACTTGCCTGGGCATCAGGAGACTGAGAGGTGGTTTTGGCTGTTGACAAAAAAAAAAAAAATCCAGATTAAAAATGGCAAATGAAACCAGTATAAAATTAAACAAACCCATATAAACTAAATACACATAATAACAACAACCAAATGGCTATTTAAATCAATGAGTGGAACTGAAGACATTAATCATGTTTACCTTCTCTGTCATTTTATTTTCATTTTCTTGAGTCCTAATGGAGAGTATCTACCAAGAGAGATGTACTGATCTCTGGTTTTGAACAGATGCTACCAGAACATAGATATCTACCACCATTAAAAATAAGTAGAAGGAAAAAAAAAATAGTGTGCTTCATTTGAATGTGATCAACCCACATTTGATAAGTAGAAAATTTAAAGCCTGGAGACTGTTATGCTGCGTACTACCCACATTTCCTGTTACTCATGCATATTGGGTAAACGATCATATTTAAGTGATACGACTCCCAGCAGGAATTAATATTGTCTTCAATTAATGCAGACACTTGGCCAGGACTCATATCAGTGCATCATTCAACCCTCATCAGAATAACTTCTTGCAGTACATGGTAATTAACACCCACAGCTAGACGATGTACAGAGGGTTAGAAACTTGGGAGCATTCAGCCCTAAATGAGATGTTTTTATCAAACTCCTCCTCGGAAGGCTCGGGAATCTGTGCAGAAGAGGAGGCAGAAAGCTTCTAAGAGCCAGAGGTGGTGGATGACTGCAAACACTATTCCAGACACAACAGGGCTGATGTACACGTGAACTCGCAGAGAAGGACATATCATGGACAAGACTTGCATGAGTTCAAATCAGACAAAACACCAAGATAAAGAAGTAGACACAAAATCCCACCCCTAATCAAGAAGCTACTTGCAACTAATACCTGAGGGGAAAGAGAAAATCAGTTTTCTCTAATGGAGTGCCACTGGGTATAACCGCCACATTCCAGGGCAGGCTCTAAGCTGAGGAGCAAGTGGCCAAAGCAACACAGAGCTCCATGTGTTTTTGTGTGTGGTATTTCATTTGTTTTATTTGTTAGTTTATTTGGTCTTTGTTTTTGTTGGGGGGGGGGAGAGATCATGAGATTGGGTTGGTAGGGAGTTAGGGAGGAGCTGAGAAATTGGGAGAGGGAAAAGAATATGGTCAAAATATAGTTTGTAAAAATATTTTCATATAAAAAGAAAAATTAAAATCAAGGAAAGATATCATTTATCTTCAAAGGAAACCAAAGTACTTTCCTTGCCATCATTTATTCAAATCACAATATGCTTTAAATGGCTTTGTTATATTCCTGTAAAAGATCCAAATAGTTAACATTTTCATGAAAATGACAAAAAGAAAGATTTAATTCTGTCTAACATAAGGCAGGTTAATGGAGGAAAAACAGCACCTTGAACTAATCTAGGGGCCATCAGTAGGTATTAAAAAAACATTAGCCGTTAAATTCAATTTAAAATTACTCTAAAACTTAATTATCTTCACTCTCCCTCAGACTAATTACAAACTTAACTGTATTAATCGTACGTGCTCTTCTCTCTGATCAAAAGCGGTCCAGCTGCACAAAAGTTGCAGAAGAGCCACTCTGTGTGTGACAGATGGGGCTTCTGGAGCTAATTTCTAAAGCGAGGCAACTCTTGATGTTTACCTCTGATAGAAAGCAGAAAGTGCAGCCCTGACTAAGGGCTCCACTGCAGGGAATCCAATTACTACTTCATGTTTCTTCCTAAATAAGGCGTCACCTTGAACACATTAATATACTGTATTTCTCACATCCTAGACATCAATTGCATAATTTAATAATGACACGATATGGATGATTCAATAAAAATAAAGATAGTTGAACACAGGAACGCTTCTATTGCCAATGATTTTCAGTTAAGTTAGATTACAGGCAAAATTGGCATCAAATATGGCAAGATTAAAGAATTTCCTCTCTAACCAATGGAAATTTTGAGTCTCTGAGAGTACAGGAAGGTAGAGTAATGGCTGACTGGAAGTCATGGACCAGAATGCACACACGAGGAAGATGCACGGATGTCACTGCTAACCCTACTGTGGTTGGTAGTTTTTAACAGGTGAAAACACCAAAAAACATGGCTACCCCTTATACAGGTAAAGTACATTGGCGATGACAGAAGAATCCAAAATATAGGAATGATAGGCCCAAATAAAAAAGAGAAAAGGTTATAAAGACGAGGGAAAGCTACTGCAGTAAAATTTGAAAAGAAATTCAGTAGTTTTGGCAACATTAAAATGTGGGTATCTATGTAACTGCCCCACAAAAATCATTTGGAGACTGTTTAAAACATTTTAAGATAGACCCTGACCAGATGGACACAACCAGAAAAAAAAAGCGTACAACTCGGAATCACCAAATTATAGACTAGTCGGGGGAGGCTAAGAGACACCGAATGTGAAGGAAGATGTCAGATGCAGCACGGGGACATGACGCCACAGAAGCCAACTACAGTCTCACTTAAGGACTGCCAGGGTGAAGAAGGGGGAGACACAGCCCCAGAAGACGGGTTCATCTTGGAATTGGTGAAATGCCGTGTGGGAAATGAACTCTCACGCCAATCATAAAGACACCATGCAAAGGCCAGGAGTTTTTACTGCCAGCATCATGATATATAAAATCCACTAACACCCTCCAACATGGGTTGAATTTCAAGGCATGAAAATGTAAATTAATGATAAAGAATATTCTTCTAACAATTACAGCCAAACATGAGAAAGGTATTGGAACCAAATGCCTTGAAGGTTCAATTTCCATTTTCTGGGAACAGAATGTAAGAATTTGTCCGTAGATATGTATGTTGAATATCTGAACTTCACAGAAGCTAATTTTGATTTTCTTAGGAGTTTTAAGTACAATCAAACCAAATTTTCTCAAAGCAGCAACAAGAGCAACGATAGAAGGCAAACATTTATAAACACCCTGTGTACCAGAAACCATTTTGGGCACATGCGAATAGCTAGTCAGCCTTCACTACAATCCAATTAAAATAGTCCACAGCAGTTAGAAAAACTACAGAAAAGCTAAAAAAATAAATAAATCATTCCAAGTCTGCAAATGAAATTTTCATGAACTTAAAGATATATTATGCTACTTTCCTTAAGCACCTTATAATTATTGTTCATACTACTGCATATCATTAATATTTTATATTAATTTAATAAAGAATACATTTATTATATTAAGTTATTATTTTAACTTCTGTCTTATCCAACAGTAATTAGTAGTAATTACATTATGTGAAATGCTAACAGGACAAATTCGTTTTCTACTAAGAGCCGAAAGGCAGGGAAGCAGTTAATGGTCCTCAAGCAACAACATAATAATTTCTAGGCAAGAATACTTTGGTGGAGACAGGATTGTGATTAGAAGTCTTATGATTTTTAAAGCTTAATTTAGACACAATCATTGGCTGATCAGTGAAATCCAAGGGACTGCTGACTCCCTCAAAGGCCAACCTTGGTGAATGTGAGGACAGCAACTTTCCTGCAGTTTCTCAAAGAATCTGAGAGCTATGCTAGGCTAAACTTGGGAAAGGTGTTTCTTCTAAGGTACCAAAGATGACTGTCTTCAGTCTCATAACACTTAGTTTATTGTTCGTCTCTAGAATACACAACAGAGATAAGAATACTTGGCAAGCCTAGCTGGCCTGTTACTGCTATGATTTTGGCGTTCAAGACTAACATAAACTTACCAAAAAAAAAAAAAAAACCCTTTGAGAAATAAAAATTCAACAGTCATTTCTAACTGAAAACCGAAATCTAAATGCAAACTTAGTTGTAATTGATTTCAAAATGACATCACCACAGTTTTCTCACCTGCTAATGCCTCTTTCGTCTCATCGTCTTTAGATTCATCTCTTTCTGGGCTATCACAGTCACAAGGTTGACTAATTGGCTCACAGGGCTGAACTGTCTGCTCATCCATAACTTCAAGTGGTAAGGAGGGAAACAGACTTGCATAAGTGAAAATTAAAATGAATTCATATTAAGATATGCTTAGGAAGAAAAACTGAACCAAGTACCAAAAGAAATTCTACATTCACAAAGAGACATTATTTAATTACAAAACTGGGAGTGATGTCTGTGGAGAACAGAAAAGGTTAATAATTAGTTAAGCTTATGTATTTACCAGAATAAAATTATCCATGAATTTAGAACAAAATTCAAAGCTCGGTGACAAGTTACACACCTGGAAGGGAGTTCCCAACATTATTCACAGAGCTCAACTTTCATCCAGCACTAAAATTCTAAGAAGCATATACATTATACTCATAATAAAATTTAAATCTAGGGGCTGGCGGTTATGTGCCAGTGGCTAAGGGCACAGACTGCGCTTGCAGAGGACTCATGTTTGGTTCTCAGCATCCATGACGGGCAGCTCATACCTGCCCATTAACTCCGTCTCAGAGGACTCAATGCCTCCTTTGGTGCCCGTTCTTCCATAAACACAGCCACACTCTGACACATATCATGCACAGCCTCAGAGATAAAAAGTACGTCTTTTAAATTTCAGAGAGACTTTTATACTCTTAAAAAAAATTAATGATGTTAAAAAATCAACATTAAGAAATTCTTATTATTGGCAGCCACAAGTCTGATTCTAAGAAGTAAAGGCTTGCCTATAAAGTAAAAAGATTGAAATTTTTACATTTGTTCTATATGGTACTTTTCTGCTTAAGCGGTGATGAAAATACCGCAACTTAACTTCTGAAACTTTATTTCACGCATCGTTACTATGCTGATGCTCGCTACTGAAAGGACAGGTAAGTTTAAGTACAGATTTCCCTTTTGGGAACGTGTTGTCTGTCTCCTAGCTCGTCATTAGACTCCTTTTCTAAAGGTGTACCCAAATCCGAGCATCACGCACACCGGTTATGCTTCTAAGCAGGGATGCCGCCGGCCTCTTTGAAGCTAATTTTGTGAGCATGTACCTTTTCCAGCCTCTTCAATGACTTGCCTCACTGCTTTCTTTAAACTGTTGGCGCGCAGCATGATTTCGCGGGGTCTCACGGCTTTCTGGGAGGAGGGTTTCGCGATGTCATTCACGAGCTGGTCCTTGCTTTCACCCAGGGACTCTTCACTGGAGGACTCCAGGGCATCTTCTTCGGGGATCGCAGGGCCGACCCCGGGGGGAACCCGACTGGCCTGAGAGTCTGTGTGCAGGGCTTGGAGCAGCTGTTCAAGCTTCTCATTCAGGACTGAGCACTAAGAACACGGACAGAATACCATTGATAGTGAAGAGAAAATAAATAAGTATATTGATGATGGTGATGAGGAAGAAATTCAAATACGTTAGACTGGCAAGCACAAACAAAGGGGTATTTTTATCTAAGATAAATCTTGAATATTTTTAATCACTGGAGATAAAAACACCAACATCCAAGTAGCTATAGTCTTCTATTCTGCAGATGTTTGGGGTTGAGAACACATCCATTTTAAATTTAATGAAGAAAGAAAATGATCTTTAAGTGAGTGGTTCTTAATGTATAGAACATATATAGCTGCTTACTGATATAGACTATGGCATAAATGACTTGAACACACGTACAATTCATGTCCACCTATTGACTCAATTCTATCTCACGATTTAAAGTCTTTTTTTTAACTTTCATCACTTTTTTAAATTAAATTTTTTTTCATAATTTATTCATTATATATCCCAGTTGAAGGGCCCTCCCTCAGCTCCCCTCAACCTTACCTTCCCTCCCTCTTCCCCCCATCCCCTTCCCCTAGTCTATTGAAAGGGGGCTTTTTAGAATGATTTTTATGTATATGGAGTTTTACCTGAGTGCATGTATGTATAGCATGTGTGTGCCTGGTGCCCACAGAAGCCAGAAGATGATCTCAAGGTCACCTGGAACAGGCGCTATGTGAGCTACCACATGGGTGTTTAAAACCAAACCTGGGTCCTCTGCAAGAGCAACAGTGCTCATAACCACTGAGCCACCTCTCCAGGCACCACAGGTTCAAATTTTTACAACCTACGACCTGCTGTTCTCCCTTGGAACACAACCAATACTAAGCTAAAAAAAGATACAGTATATGAGAACAACATGGCTTCTTTCAGGGCACCCTTTCTAACATCTATATGCATGGCTGAGCTGAAGTTCTGTTTTGCAAAGACCTGGACAGCGCCAACAAGACTACTGGGTCCAAGAAAGAGAAAGATGAAAAATGGACAAGAATGAGGGGAAAGAGGAGGGGACAGAAAGAACTAGCACGGAGGTCTTGTTTCTTTCGGCGTTCATTGTTTTCCTACAGGTTAAAGAAACATTCGGGATGAAAACTGCTAATGCTACCGCAAATGTACCTTCAATCTCCACAGAATTCCTGGTCTATTCCCTGCTTCATTTCTCTGTCTTTGATGATAAGCCAAGCAAAGCCACAGTAGAAGGACTTAAAAGTGTGTCTAAGAGAGGGTTCCTGCTTTCCGAAACTCCACAGAGAAGGAGATGAGTGAAATACTTCACAATGATTATTTCAGTGTTGCTGTCAGGCAAGAAGGCTACTGGATTTTATGTATTATTTTTGTACCCCACCACTTTGCTGGAAGTATGTATCAGCTCTGGGAGCATTCTGGTAGAGTCCCTGGTCTTGCGTAATGAATGATAATATGTGCAAATTGGGACTTGAGATGGTCAGCTCTGTGAGACACCTACATCAACCCACCCTCATCCCCAAGGCTTGGGGAACATGGCAGAAGAGGGGGCAGAAAGAATCTAAGAGCTGGAGATAGGGAGGAGTGGTATGGAATGGTAGCTTCTAGATGAGGCATGGCACACTTGGATTCATAGCAGCTGTGGTCACCTATACAAGGCCTGCATAAGATCAGCAGCTAAATATTCCAGTGTTGAGGAAGAGAAGGGTTCTGAAGGTCCCACCCCTAGCTCTCCTAAGGACCCACTGGCAGCTGATGACTTCTGGGGGAGGAGTTAGGGCTGTGGCCATTGGCAGATTCCCTACTCCAGTGGATGACCCCACACCCATGTCCACACATGAGGCAATAACTGTACTCAGGGGGATGAAAAAAATAATAATTATGAAAGGAGGGCATGAAGTTGGAAAGGAAATGTAATGGAGTTAGGACCCCAAGAGGAGTTAGGGGAGAGGAAGGGGCAGATATAGTCAAGATACAGTGTATATGTGTATAAAAATTCCAAAGACTACATTAAAATTTAAAGGAAAAAAAAAGCTTATTTCCACTTTCTTTTTTTCCCCCACTCAATCCGCTTGCTACAGCATGAACCTAAGGGGAAGAAATCCTTCCCAAGCCAAAGCTACCCAAGCCTTATGTAAAAAGGCCCTCTTATGAACTTTAGAAGTAAAGATTCTGGCTCGGAAAGTCAGTATGTCATCCTTATCTTAGCATCAGAAAGCTCATGAAGGGGAGAAAAGAAAAGAAACAGAACTTTGAAGGGCTCAAGTCTAGAGAATGGAAGGACTCGTTCTGGGAGGGAAATGGACCACCAAGGCTTGTCTGATGTGGAAAGCCAGGCCTCATTCAACAGGACCATGAGTCCCTTGACATCCTCCCCTGGCATGCTGACTGTATGTCCTTCAAGATGTCAATCACAGAGAAAGGAATGTGAATCAAAAACTTTGATTTGCTGAATACTTCCAGCAATGCAGCTTTTGTGACTGTTAAAGGTCAACCATAAACTAGAAGGTGTTTTTGTATATCCTCATACCTAGTTAAAAACATCATTTTTCCCCCTCTTTAGACATTTTGGCAAGAGCAAACCAAAGCAGTCTTTATAACACAGCTCAGCAACCATAATATCAATAAACAACTTAGCACCCTTGATGCGTTCCTCTTACTTTACTGGCCACAGCGTCGGCTACTACTGTATTTTCCAGTGTTTTGTCGTATGCCTTCTCCACTTTGGAAACGAAGTCTTTCACGGTTTCACAGAGTATCCTTTGAGGAAGAGAAATCGCACCGCTCAGGATCAGTGTGCTCTCGTGTACAAATTTATTTGAAAGCAAGCAAAGTCAAAGCACCCGGAACCATTTCTTTATGAGAACACACTTTTACCTGTGCTAGTACTTTGTGAGTGAAAAACAGATACACGAGTAAATCCGCTCTCCATCCTAATAGTCAGGCTGCACGGAACCACCCTCAAATGCCTAACTAAGGCTTACAAAGAATACTTTCAGATCACTTAAAAATAGCACAGTATCTTCCACAGCCTTTTCATGTTGAGCAGAAAGACAACATCTACAGGACAACATCTCCACTATCTACAGGACATACTGGACCTACTGGTTGGCAAATAGACATGTCGGTGGCACACTACTCCTGAAGAAGAGAGGGTATGTATTGTTACCAAGCTATCAGACACTGGAACTGAGTTATAGTCTCTGTAAACCCATCCGTTTCGCCCCTTTAAGATAAACAATGCAATAATCTACGAGCCTGATTCAATTTAGTTCTCATTTGTGTCAGCAAATATACGGCTTACTTGTTTGTTTCTTTTAATTACATTTGGTGTCTTTGCAAAAGAAATGGACTGGAAGAAAAAAAAATAATGTGAAACACATTTGCCTCTCAAAAAAAAAAAAGAGTGTACAAAATAACAAGCAGATTGGCATATGAATAGGTTAGTTCTGGCAAAAAGTGAACATTGATAGAAACATCTGTCATTGGTATAGATTAAAGAATCTGAAAAGAAAACTATTCTGGTAGTTTTTTTTTTTTTTTCTTTTACGTTCACAACTTTCTCCAGTAGGTGAGTAATGGCAGCTACCAGATACCCGAATACTACAAAAATCAAACCATGCAGCAGGCACAGGGTACACACGCATGCACGCACAGACACTCCAGACCTTTGAACTGGTTATCTGAATGCATTCTTCCTGACAGCCTTTGTTTTACTTCCTGCCTGGGGACTAGATCTGCTGGCCGTCTATCCCTCAGCCTGCTTCCTGATGCCAGAGACAGAACCCAGGCCTCACACATGCTACGCAAACACTCAGACCACTGTGCTGCAGGCACAATTAACACGGCATTGCCTGACATTTCAAATTGCAGTTTCTGTTCTCTATTTCTAAGTTTAACAAATTACGTGTGTGTGTGTGTGTGTGTGTGTACTTGCACGTCATGTATGTATGTATGTGTATCCACATTCATGCAGTGTCTGAAGGGACAAGAAGAAGGTGTCAGATACCCTGGAGCTGGACTTATAAATGCTTGTGAGCTGCCTTGCCTAACTATGGTCCTCTGCAAGAGCAGCAGACTTTAAGTGCTCAGCCAGTCACTCCAGCCCTTCAATTCAAATTCTTAGGGGAATTAAGAGAGCCTACTTTGCCATTTCTTAGACTCACTCATGTACTTCATGTATAATGTTTCTTCTTTGTTAATGTGTAATATACCTGTATTGAATTTCTTGAAATATGATGTCAGGCCATCATGGCGCTTCTCGTATGCGCCCTACCAGAAGATCCTCTGTGAAATTCCACTTCTGAGAGGAGACACTGGCATCCTCACCAATTTGTGTAACTCCAACCTGGCGGGCTCCGTCTTGCCATTACTGTTGTAACGGTTTGATCTAATTTCCTCCTGGGTTTGTGAGGAGGTGCACGCTGCAGCACTGGCTACTGCTGCTCTTGTGTGACCGCCTGAAGAGAAGGGGCTCTTCAGCCTATCATGGTACAAGGGAAAGGGGCAGCCAAGGCTTCTCCCTCAATTACCCTACCTCTCTGAGGGACACATAGGCTGAAGGAGCAGCCTGGTCCTGTGTACCTCGTGTGTAGAGGGCTGATGACTGATGTGTATGAGGGTGCTTGATGCTCAGATAGGGGGAACAACAGGAAGAGATGCTCTGCCTTGTGGTCCCTGTGGTTACACATTACAAAAGGAAATATAGGATATTTATATTCTGGAGGGATGACTTAATCTAAATAGTGAATTTAGAGTTTCTATCGTAAAATGTATACTTAAGGTGAGCCAGGTGGTGTGGATCTGTAATCTTATCCACTTTATGCAGGAGGATTCTAGGCTAAAGACTGCCTAGACTACAGTGCATTTAAGGTGAGGTCCTATTTAATAGACATGCATTTGATTCAGAGAGCAAGGCTGGCAAAGTCAAGTGTCTGCTGGAGCCAGGGGAGTAATAGGCAGGCTGAACCCAGGAAAGACAGGCAGGAAGAGCTGAGGCCTGAGCAATCTGAACATACATACATTTCTGTAAGCAACACTGATCACTAAACACACTCCAGCCGTCAGCTCTGCAACAGAGTGCTACCCCTCTCTCTCTGCATCAACCACAGTGGTGTGCTGCCCGAGCCATTTCCCCTTTCCTCTTCTTCAGTGCTCGTTCCTGCTCCTGGGAGATACATCCTCAAAAGAAGCTGTTATTACGCTTGCATCTCTGTTAGAAGCGAAGTCGTTTACGATGACTTATTTCGTGTTTCTTCTTCATTACAAGTGAAGTATGTAATAAACCGAAATTTGAGCTTTCCTCCTCAGTCTTCCACACTCCTTCTGGTCTTCTACCCCGCTGTTCCTTCCCTTCCTGCACAATAGCAGTTCGCTCGCTAAGCGGAATCCCTGGCTGCCTTTTTCAGGATGCAAGCATAGGATGCTTCGAAGGGAAACTGGAAACTCCACGTTTGGCTCCATGTATGGAATTAGCTAAAATGACTTGGAACTATATGGATTTTAAACATGCTGAGAAATGTGATTTTGACGAATCTATTTTCCTTTTAGTGATGTAAACAGTTGCTAAAAAGAAATATATATATGTGTGTGGGAAATACATGATAATGAGGTAGGATTTCCACGTTATACCTTCCACATAGACATTTAAACTCTTTTTTGCACTTTCCTGATTAAAAAAAATGTTTCCAAATAAGCAACAAAATACGCTCCCTCTGAATAGACTCCATACAGATGCTAATATGAATAAAGACTCCACTGCAAACTATTGTCTTTCATCCTTTAGATTACTTCAAGTATATTACTAAAGATCAGCGCCACAGATGGCATCACAGCCAGGAAATACTTTTCCTTTCATGTTCTCGCATAACTAAGCGCTTTCGTCATCCACAGCCCCGTGACTCACTTGGCAGATGATATGACCACAGCACGTTCATCAGAATTGAGGATTTTCGTGAGGTGATTCGCAACAGAGTCTTCGTAAATCGTCATCTGGAAAAGAAAACCCTATACTATATGATTGCCGCCCGTGTCTAGACAACCCAGTTATGAACACCGGGCAAGACAGGGCAAAGGCTGCCAGGAAAATTGTGTGTCACGGCGGGGAGGGTCATCATGCAAAATAAGAATTTACCTGACTCCCATTTTAAGGTCCTGGAGTTCTTTACATTTTTTAGAAAATCCAACTAAAATTCCATTGTTTTTTAAAGCTATATAAAAATGAACTATATATAAATATAGTGTGGCTAGAAGAAGCATTATTTAAAATAGGTACAGTGAAAACCAGATTATCACATACAAAACATGGGCCAAAAAAAAAAAGAAAAAAGAAAAGAAAACAAACCCCTAGAAATGCAAGTAGAATAACCCAGTGATTGACATTCAACTTCCTCATGGACCCAGAGAATGCAAACTGAAACCACACACAATGGCTAAAATGTGGATAACAGCAAATGGAACCTGTAAGTGGCACAGCATGACGGCAGTACAAACCTCTCCTCCATGAAAACTGAGAGGTCCTTGGAAGCTGTGGGACAGTGTCTGTGAAAGCTGAACATAGGCCTAACACCAGAGGACCAAGAAACTCAAGTTCTACATACTCACCCCAAAGAAACAGATGTGTGTGCACCAAAAGACATGGGCTAGACAGAACATCCACACCGTTCTGAACGCAATGTATTTTGTTCAGTGGAAACAAATACTATAGGACACTAGGAAGGAATGAGTCATAGTGCCTACGGGACAGAGGAATCACTCTCCTAAACCAGACAGAACTAGTCTAGGCTGTAGGCTGTTAGAAGTGAGTGGCCATCCATGAAATGTGTGTGTGTGTGTAGGGGGGTATCTCACAAGGGCAGGTGAGGGGCTTGTCAGGCACTTAATGCTGTCTTGTGAGCTGGGTGTCAGTTACACAGGTTTGTCTAATTTGTGAAAAATGCCCCAAGCTATACATCTAAGAAATGCATACTTTTCTATTTATACATTACACTTCAGTAATATATATATATATATATATATATATATATATATATATATATATATATATTTAAATGCAATTGTGTAGTCATATAGTCTGTTAAGTACCCATAAAATTATGTAAATAATTATTTCTCTTAGACCAGTGGGGCTCAACCTTCCTAATGCTGCAACCCTTTAATACAGTTCCTTGCATGGTGACCCCAACCATAAAATTATTTTGTAGCTACTTCATAACTACATAATCTTGCTGCTGTTATGAATTGTAATATAAATATCTGATATTCGATCCCCACTGAGGTCACCACCCACAGGCTGAGAACCACTGTCTTCGGACAGTGAAGCACACTGCGTTACCCAATGTGCCACGTCTCCTTTTCTGTTGGACTCAGAGCTTAACATCCTATTAAAGGAGCGCATCTTCATAATATATAAAATACGCGCTATCTAAAGAGCCTCGTATACAGTCTTCTGCCAAATGTTTTCTTCATATGCATGCCATGTCATAAACTCACAATTTCCCAATAAAAATTCAGGCTGGTCTCTGATGTCCTTTCACCTTGCTCAGACATCTTTTCAGCCCTTTTTGCCCATTAGCATCACTTTATTCACACATAATCGAAGTCGCAGTAAATATTCTCCTCCACTGTGTCATTGTGACCGGCATCTTTCCAAAGAAATCTCGCTTTAAATTTATGGTCAAGTCCACTGGTGGCTAATTTTCAATTTCTACCTCACCTCCTTCAAATGCAGACCATACCTGGAAAAGCAATTTTACTCCAGAGCAGCTGAGGGCCTCCCAAGTACGATAATGCACTAACTCTCTAATCTCTTGGTTTAAATACGAGAATCTGTACCTTTAAAGATCAGGACAACGAAAACACATCTTTTAAAAAATACGCGAAAAGGGACAATATTCCTAAGAGATCAGTTTATTCTCTTCCCTGCAGAGTAGATAGTATATGGCATGGCCACTAATGCTATGAACAAATGCATTAATTAATGCCACTGATTAATTTATTAATTACTGATATTTAATTAATGCTCCGTGAAGCTTATATGTATTTGTTTACTAAAGATATTCAAAGACAGAAACATACTTCTTTCTGAGGAAGAAGATAATATGTCAAAGGACAGAATTTATAGATGCTACTTTTAATCTACTACAGTGTCACTTAGCAGCCTCAGGACTTCCCCTCCTCATTTTGGAAAAAGAAATAATGACATTAATGAAAAGTGCTACAGAGAATGGCTTCTAGAAAAACAGGCATGGTAGGTATATTCAGATAGAATAATATAAAAATTGAAAGTTTCACTGGATATTAAGCAGTAAATATATTCACCTTAGCAGTTGAGTATCTTTAGGTGACTGGGATGTACATTATTTCTGCTTTCCATTTCATGTGATTTACTACTTTTTCATGTTTTAGAACTTTTAAAATACTTTCATATCTGAAAAATACATTTATCTTCTCTAAGGATGGTCCTGTCTTACTTTTGACAAGATATGATTTTTCTCAATGGCAAAACAAAAATTTCAGCTCTAAAAAGGTAAAATTTCCTAGAGGAAAAAAATATACTGTTGTAGAGCAAAAGGCCTTAACGAGTCAGAGCTAATTTCCTGGAAGCCAGACTGTATTAAGTTTCCACTGCCCTGAGGTTTAAACATATCTGAAAATTTTAGACGCTAGTGGTCTGTAGCAGAGATAGAAGGAAATGAGCAGCATTTCTTCCTTTGCTTGCTCAGGATCAATGTGCTTATCCCCTTCAAAGAACAGGCAAACTGGAAGACAGAAACAGCACCATCTTCCAGCCAGGAGTACTGGCTCATGGGTGGGAGGGGCTTACTGGAGCTGGGCTGAGACCTAATAAACAGACAGTGCTCACGGCTGATGCAGAAGATGTGTGAGCACTGACTAGAGGCTGCTAACTGCTGGCCTCCTGGGGCATGAGAATGCAACCTTGTATGCCTGGTGCTCTCTATACATCAGCATCATTAAATCTCCATGTTACACATGAAGTGGTGAGGTCCAGGAAGGCCAGTGACTTAGGGTTCATGGTCAAAGAGGACCCTAACATTGATCCAAGGGATCCTGTCTCTGGGGGAGAAGACTGGATGCAGTCACCATGGCCATCTCCCCCATCCCCAAGACAACCCATTTCAGATGGTCAGTAAATAAAGATTAGTCTTACATAAAATCCTTCAGACGCTTCCGCTGGTTCAGGAAGTAGAGACGCCTTTGCTGGCAATTTGAGTTCATACGTCATAATACTCCACCTAATGGGAGAAAATCCTTTGGTCTAAAATTTCTTTAAATCTTCATAAACTATTTCCATGTCATATAATACATACAAAAATACATACATACATACGTACATACATTTGTGGCCTACAGTTTTATTCTCAAACTGAGGTTGAAACAGATAATTCCATAAAACATTCATAGTTTATGATTTCTAACATTTCTCTAGTTAGTGGCGCCCAAACATTCCAACACCAGGTGACAGCAGGAAATTCTGGTCATCCCGTGACTTACTATTCTTGATGAAATGCATTCTAGCTTTCTTTTCTTCTCTTCCACTTTCTAATAAGGCTTATTGAAAAGCACTAAGTAGATTATATGTTATTAATGAGCCACAACCCAGAGTTCTAAAAACTAATGTCCTAGATTAAATAAATGCCTATTACCTATGAAAATAAAGCATTTCTCATGTAGCAACTGCTCCTGGCAAAAAGAAATGTGAGTGAGTGAGTGTGAGTGTGTGTGTGTGTGTGTGTGTGTGTGTGTGTGTGTGTGTGTGATAAAAATGGGGTAAACAGTCCTTAATTTAAGAAGCAGTAATGTAATATAATGGGATAAAAAGGAAATTTTATTTCAAATGTTGAATCTTTTGAAAAAGCAATTTGGGATAATTCCAGTTAATATTTAAAACAATTCCAAATTTGCGGAGTATAATGGGTCAGGACATTAATATAATCTAACAAGATGAGAGATAAAGAATTTTTATAGAAGCATTATAAATACAATATTACAACACATGACTTTTATAAAAAGCATACACAGCCAATGATGGAACCTACAGGAAAATTCTAAAGTCAATATTTAAATATATCCCAGTGTATCATTCACATTAAGGAGACTAAATCTTCACATAAAAACCCAAACTTCCAGCAACTTCCCAATAGGCATGTGTTATTTAAACTATGTGAAATAAACAGTTATTTGTAGCTACTATTTAATGCTCGACATGAAAACATAAACTCTGGGGAATTGGCTGCAAGGCTGTAGCACCCGCTCTGAAAGCATGAAGATAAGAGTTCAGATCCGTAGAGTTCATATAAATGCGGAGTAGGAGAGCTGGCCCTGCCTGTAATTCCAACCGAAGAAGACAGGAGCTGGCCAGCAAGAGTAGCCATCTCAGCCAGCTCTGGGTTGAAATGGACGAAAAAGGTGGGAGAACAATCAAGGATGGTTCCCAACCTCAAGCTCAGGACTTCATAATCACGTGCAAGCACACACAGAAACACACACACACAAAGGCACACAAGCAAAAGAAGAAAAAAAAAAGAAAACATTACAAATAAAATCATAATTATATGCTCTTCTATCCATCACGCAGCATATGCTGAACATCTCAAAGGGAAAGAAAGGCAGGGTCCAGATACACAAGAGTCAACAGGCTTCCCAATGAAGCACGCACGCTGGCACAGAAACTAGAAATCGCAGTGCCTGGTAAGACTGCAAATACCCAAGTAAGAGAAACCCGCAATCAGAAACGTGAAAGTCAAGCTTTCACGTTGCGGCTGAACTTCTTCTCTCGTCAAAAGAGAAGAGTCAGGAAAGGATCCCACCTAACCATAACCTTCCGAGCTGCATCTCCCTCCTGGATAGGGAATTCCCAGAAAACAGGAAGAGGAGGCAGCCAGAGAAGAAAGAGTGGGGCTGGCTATGTGACTCTGATGGTGTCAAGAATACAGATGGCAATGTTAGCTCATTTGGGGCGGTAGTGATGGCAACATAAAATGAGTACAACAGGAAGACAGGCAAATGGGCTGGATGATTCCTGCTCCCGCTGTCTCCAGAAGCCTGTGTCTGATCTTTGTAAAACAGTCACAATGATGCTTTTGTGAACCAAGTCACAGGAGAGCACTAAAGATCAAGTAAGTACTATTGAAAAGCCAATGCAATGCAGAATATTACACTGATTTTTTTCATCCATTTTTTTCACAGGACTAGGATCACTTGTTTTGTTGTTGTTGTTTGTTTGGTTTTTTTGCTTTTCACAAACAGTAAAGCCACAAAAAACAAAAAAAAAACAAAAACAAAAACAAAAAAAACAATTGTAGTGAAGAGCCTCACCTTTGGTCTGCTCTTTTCAGCACGCCAGTGGACGGCAACGAGTTTGACCTCAGGGATGCTATTTCTCAGCTAACCACTTGGGGGAGTGAATTTCTATAAAACATTTCCTAGGCCACATCAGGTCAGCCCTTTAAATCTGTCTCAAGAAGAAGCATTTACAATACTGTGTTGGGGCTGGTAAGAGGGCTCACTGAGTAAAGGTGCTTGCCAATACGCCTGATGACCTGAGTTACATCCCCAAGACCCACAGTTCAAGGACAAAAGTGACTCTCAAAAGACCTCCACACCCTTAATGCGACAAATGCAGGAACATGCACACAATTAAATAGAAAAAGATCTTTAAGAAATACTCTGTGTTGTTTGGTAAGCAAAGTATCGAACCATTTAGGAAATTACTTTCAGCTCTTTCTCTCACTTGTCCCTTCTGTTCCGTTGTGTACGAATGAAGTGTGGATGTGTGCATGTCCTGAACAGGAGTTCAGGTGTGCATGCGCCACAGCCTGTGTGTGGAGATCCGGGGACAACCTTGTGTGCTGGTCCTCACTTTCCACCTTGCTGGGGACTTGGTCTCCTTGCTCACAGCTGTCTATGCCAGGAGAGCCAGCCTGTGAACTTCTGGGGCCTCTCCTGCTCCCTCCTCCACTGTATTACAGACAGGGCTTTGAACGGGCTCTGGGAACCAAGTTCAGGCTTACAGAGCAAGGGCTTGAGCGGCGGAGCCACCTCCTCACACCCCACCTCTTTTTTTTATCCCCCCCCCCCTTTCCTTTCTTTCTAAACTCCAGTCTCTTTTAAGGATTGGAGATTCTGAATCTAGCTTCAGCCCAGGTTATAAATCATTATGGCCCAGCTAAATGAGTGTCACCTTCATGCAGTGTTGGATAAATACAGGCTTAGGGTTCTACCATTCAGGTCTACTTCTCAGTATGTCGTCAGCAAGGGAAGCAAGCCTCACAACCTTACGGCATGACAGACAAGGTCACCACACCGAGGTTAGGGCTCGTCTGAGGGTGATTACATTTTGGACTGGCGGCTCCCTGATGCGATTTTGTTTTCAGGAAGAGTTCCACAGATGGCTAATCCTATCAAAGTTGTTTTGATTCATGCGAGCTCAAGCCTGTAATGATATTTTGGTATCTGTCTTGTCCTCTTGAGGGTGGGGTAGTTATGGCTTGGTGAATCTTGTTTTTCCCTAAACCCAAATTTTAAATGCCTTCACCACAGCAGTTAGGTTACAAACGCCGCGACTTCTGTTTTACACATGGGCATTCATGATGGAGGAGAAGGTGAGGAGAGGAGAAAAGGCGGGGAGGGGAGGGGAAGAGATCCAGGACAGTATAAACAGTGACAGGTCCTGTATCTTCATGTGTGTTCCTAATAATGCCCTCTGTCTCTGACACAGGATCCAGGTTTTCTCTCTCTTCTCTCTCTTGTTCTCTCTCTCTCTCTCCTATCCTCTCTTCTCCTTTCTCCCACCCATGGCAAACATTCTATTTTTGAGCCACATCCCCAGCCTGGGCAGGACTTGATTAACTCAGAAGACTCTCCAGCAAACTGAAGGTGACAAAGCTTTTCTCAGGTTTTTTTTTTTTGGAACCACAAGATGATGGGTCTTATTATTCCATTCATCAGGAACTGTAAAGTTAACTTTTCAGCTTTCTGACTTAAACAGTGGTTAAAATTAATTGGAATTCCTGGGCATGGTGGTGCACTCCTATAATACTGGTACTCAAGGACAATAAGACAGGGCATCTCAAGTTTGAGGTCAGCCTGAGTTAAGGAGTCAAACCCTATCCCCAAGTCTCAACAAAACAAAAGCTAGGAACTACTACATTTAAATAATGAATTCAGTGAAACCATTTCTTTAGGTGTTTGCCATCCATCCATGCATTCATTCATTCATTCAAAATCATCCATCATTAAGTGTCTACTTTGTCAGGTTCTATCCAGGATCCCAGTAATCAATGAACAAGACCAGGAAGTTTGGAGTTAAGAGTTAGGAAAATTCAAAGTATCAAATAACTTCTTGTTGACGTTGTTTTTACCTGTCCAACATTTTGGTGCTGGCTCGTTCCAGCTTCTCTAGTATCTGAGGAAGTTGCGTGTCATCATCATACGACCCTCCCCAGCCAAGGACTCGAGCAAGGTCATTGCCTGTCCCCAGCGGCAACACCCCGACCTGGCACTGCAAGAGAGCGCAACGGTGACATTGTCAGGTGAACTAGTAAACAAGAGCCTGGGGCTCGAGGCTAGCTTAAGCTACACAGCAAGACCCCATCTCAAGCACCCCGGCGCATACTTGCCTGTTTATTCAAGTTCAGCTTATCAATCTCTGATAAAACCCAGCCTACACTTCCATCGCCCCCACAGACAAGGATCCGGAAGGTGTCAAACTTCTGAAATAATCTTAAGCTGAAAGTAAAACAGTTATTTTTAGTGCAAGTACATAAAAAAAAAATCTTCTTCAATTACTATTCATGTTATACTCATTATTATCCACATTCATATTAAATACAAAAATTCTTATGTAAAAATTATCTAGAGTGCAATAGTAACCCTAACCCCTAACCCTGAATTAAAAAAATAGTTATAAGCAGAAGTGGAGATAAATTGGCGGGGGGGGGGGGGGTGGGTGAGAAAAGCAAAAGTGAAACAGAGCCAGGAAAGAGAACTAAAGGTAGAATAGGCAGTGGAGTGCTGGCTTTTCCATTACAGGACATGTCATTATGTAATTTCCTGAGGGATTACAAGCCAAGGGAGAACCACATCAGAGGTGCGGGGGACACTGAGGCTACTCCTGCCAGCCCTCACCAATGCATGGCTCTCAACATCCTCCCTACTCCTAGTCTCAGACCTTCCTTTTACTTCAATCTCCCTTTGTGTCATTCTGTCCACTCCCCACTGTCCCTTGGTAAACCTCAGGTCCTGTGCTACAGCCTCCAGAAAGAGAAACCTCTCTCACACATGAGAGATGTCCAAAGGCTAACAGAATAAATGGCTCCTCCATGAGAAGATATCATACCACCCCCACAGAAAAACCATGCACAGGCACTGAAAGGGGGTGAGGTACCCCCCCAAGGCATATCCCCCACAAAGAAGATGCTATGCAGTTCATACTCATTTTCAGACTTTAGGTTATACTGCATCACAGGAAGATCAAAGGACACTCAACACAAGTCCCTTATGTATCTGAAGTCAGCCTGAGACCCTTCAGGACTAAGGGCTCACTATCTGTTTGATACAAGACATACAACTAAAATACTTTTATACATTTTGGAATTTGGAAGTTCTGATAACAGGTTTGGAATTGATATAAGGAAGTTGAATAACATCAGAAAAGTTGTGTAAAAATCTCTAATTAGGGAGCACATCTTTAATCCAAGTACTCAGGAGGGAGCACCAGACCATTCCCGGTGAGTTCCAGACCAGCCTAATCTACACAGAGCTCCAGGCCATTCAGGGCCTCATAGCCCTGCCTCAAAAACCAACAACAAAAACAAAACAAGCAAATAAAAACAATAATAATAATAATAACTTTTTTTTGAGACAGGGTTTCTCTGTGTAGCCTTGGCAGTCCTGGACTCACTCTGTAGACCAGGCTGGCCTCAAACTCACAGAGATCGACCTGCCTCTGCCTCCCTGAGTTCTGTGATTAAAGGCACATGTGAAAACTATAATTTTCATGAGCAGAAGGGCCAGGCACATCTCACCCTTATAACTGTATTTTACTTAAGTAGGATTTCTCATTAATGAATTACCCTAAGTGAGGCCCTCCGTTCATTAAATCGAACACCTGAGCCGGGTTGAGCAACTGTTTAAAGCGACGAAGGAACTTTACTCCCTGATTATCTCCACTCTTAGAATTGACGAACACCAAGAGAGGACTGACACAGAATGAAAAGGTCGCTCTACAGAAACCTGAAAAACAAACCCAGGGACAAGATTAATATGTACATTTTCCTCTCTTAAATTATTAACAGACATTTAGAAAAAGAAAGAGAAATGGGCAAAAATAAGGAGCCATCCTTACTGCTGGCACACTACTGTAATCTAATCCCCCAACTGAGCTGAGTTTATATTTGTATCCTAGCAATATAAAACTTGTATTTTAGAACATGCTCTGCAGTGAAAAATTATACCAAAGACAATAAAAACCTCAGTCACGGAGTTTTTGAAATGGACTACACATTACCAATATTTATAAGAAAAGCAAATCTAGGCTATGGGTTCATAGTTGTTAAAAAAAAAAAAAACCCATGTTCATACTTGGTGGTTTTATAATATTCTAATTGTTCTTTGCAGAGGCCTGAGGAAATACTTTCAAATTTATAATAAACAACGGATACATCTGGGATGGGCAGAGCTATCAAGAACACATCCTGTGAGCCTTACATCTGCATACGCAACTATGTTAAAAGCCTGGGCATGGAGGGCAGCAGAAAACTAAAACAACACATTGCAAAAGCCATTTGTAACATGGCTTGCAGGGAAGGAAGTAATGAATGTCCTATTCTAAAACTAGTGATGGTAGAAAATTTCCTCAGCACTTAAGAGTTAAGCCTCGTCAGATTCTAGAAATAGCAGATGCACTTAGAGGAATACAAATTCCTGCAATGAAATTACAGGAGAGCAAATTTTAATAGTAGCCCACGCTAATGGGCAGTTTCAATTATGGGGAAAGAACACACATAAATTAACCTTTTAGGAGTTCAGTACAAAATGATAATCTTCTTCATCACTGGGATGCAACAGAAAGTCTAAAAAGTCTTAGGCATGATGATCTGGCAAATGTGTTAATGGCTGCGCCACAACTTCCATTTCAAAATATTCATTTGGGCTGGGGATGTGGCTCAGTGGCGGGTCGCATCTGGCTCTTCAAAAGCCTAGGTTTTATCGCCAGCAACACAAAGACTAATTAGTTAGTTAAAGAACCAAATATTCCTCCCAGCATTTATAAAAACTGCCCAGAATAGCCAATTACAGTTTATTTATCACAGGAAAGTAAGCCAACAGCAAATAGGCCAGAAATGCCCGTACTCGACACTGCTGCTACGTACCGTCAGAATCTGTGCTATTCAGTGCAATCGGAGGTATGATGGACACTTTACACTGGCCTAGAGGACAGACGGGATGGTACAAGTCTTTGCAGGCGGTATGTACCTAATAGCAAACAAAGAAACCTTCAAGAACTGGAAAAGCAACAAATCAAAGCCTCGCTGTTATAAACTACATCTATAGACCTGCTTGCTCGGGATAAATACCATTATACAAGATTCGGTGATTAGCGAACCACTAAAGGTGCATTTACCCTTCGGGGCGACAGGCTAGCACTGTACGTGCGACACTCTGGTCTGTGGTATCTACTCCTGTGGTTGAGTAAAAATAAGTAACACGTAGTTAGTGCACGCCCAGTGAAGGAAAGCAGCAGGAGATGAGGAGTGGGAAGAAGAGAGATACAGGGGAGGGAAGAGGGGGGAGGAAGAAGGAAGGGTATCAGTATCATGTCCATAAAATTTAATAAAAATAAATACTGCAATGTATAAGCTCTTTCTGCAGTGATCCTACAACCTTCTAATCAAATTTATCTTAGTTTATTTATTTGCATATGGTATTATAAGCCCATCCATGACTATTTCCTCAGCTAGACCAGTGCTGTGCAAGGCACAGGAGGGAAGCAGAAAACTCAAGCCCAAACTGGAGATTATCTGAGTAAGAAAACACAGGGTTAATTCACCATGGAGGAGCCTCGCTCCTCAGAATGCTTTGTGTGTCCACCAAAGAGCCTTTCAAACATGTCAGCTAGTCAAGTAAACTAGCTGGTCCATGAGCCCTAATTTGATATGGCTTTATTTAATTGGTCCTTTAAGAACTATGTGCAATAACTAAGCCAAACTTTTCAAGAAGATAAATAAAGTTTAATGGAAATTTTCATTCTTCTGATGCCTATGTGGGGGCAATTCTCAATTATGGCATAATAAATTAACACAAATGTATCTTAGAAAAATTAGTGTGCCCAAATAGTTTTTTGTTTTTGTTTTATTTTGCATCCAAGACAGGGTTTCTCTGCATAGCTCTGGCTGTCCTGGAACTCATTCTGTTGACCAGGCAAGCCTCAAACTCAGGGATCCACCTGCCTCTGCCTCTCGAGTGCTGAGATTAAACCATTTCCTGGTCAGACAGTTTCAATTAAAAATGTGTGGCAAGCGTGGAGCAACAAAGAAAGAGATCTACAACAATGCTGCCTGAGAAAAGCTGAGCTAAAGTACACAGGCACTCTTCCTTAAATCACAGGCTGAATCAGCAGGGTAGTAGAACTTCCAGCTTTGGTCGGGTTCTCCTTTGCCTTGTTTGGCCCTTTTGTCCTAGGTGACAGTACAAAAGCACTGTACCAGCTATCCTCCTGTGCGATCTGTCAAAAGCCAAAATAACAAGCACACCAATAAATGACAGAGTACAGGAAGTAGGAGGCCAAGAGAGCTGTCACAGGGGAATGGTGACAGCAATCGGTATGTGTAACTGACACAGGATAGGGCAGAAATAATTACGGTGAGAGTGAAGTTTGCCAGGGGTAAGGAAAGGCCGCCAGACTGCCCGCCATGCATCGCCTATAACAGCAATACCACTGTATACAACTGTTTGAAGTGCAGAATGAACTCCTGAGTACAGTCTCATTAGCTCAGACTGTTAAGCACTGCTTAAAGCTCCTGAACATGTAAACGTGCGTGCATGTACGCTGCAGGCGAAGACAACGTGAACGAAGCCTCTCTGAACTACTTCATCACACACTGAAGTGCTTTCAGAAAGTGAGAAATGAACAGCTAAGCCCCAGAGGAGAGAAACAGCAATAAATGCACAGCTAATAGAGACAGCAGGAAATGGGGGGGGGGGGGAGCGCTGAGCCCACAAAAGAAATGGTAGGTGAAACGATGACTTAAAATGCTGCCTGTGCTGGGAACTGGAGGGATGGGGAGTGGCTGGGAACAGTCCAGTTCCCAGCACAGATGAGGTGATTTACAACCTTCCTTAACTCTGGTTTCAGGGCATCTGGTGCCGTCTTCTGGCCTCCGTGGGCACCAGGGGCACACACACACAGTGCACTTAAGCACATTCAGGCAAAACACTCAAATACATAGAACGAAAGTAATGTCTCTTTTGAAAATGTTATTAGTGTGTGGTGTTCCTTTAAAACAGGCTGTGGTGTCAGAGGCTCGAGGGGTTAGGTTCAACCAAGACACGAAAGACACCTGCGACAGCCTACGCATTATAAAGTCATGCTGGTGACCATGCTGTGAGCTTGACACCCGCTAGGGGCATCTTGGAAGCAGGAAGTTCAACTGAGAAAATGTCTTTATAAGACTGGCCTGTAGGACAGCCTGCGGGGCATTTTCTTGATTGGTGATTGAGGTGAGAGCCCACCCAGTATAAGGAATGCCGTCCCTGGGCTGGTGGTCCTGGGTGGTGTCAGAGAACAGGCTGAGCAAGCCGTGATGAGCAAGCCAGTACGCAGTTCTTCTCTGTGGAATCTGCTTCCCTCCTCCAGGTTCCTGCCTTAAACTCTTGCCCTGGTGTCCATCAGTGATGGACAGCCATAGGCCCCATAAGCCAAACAAACCCTTTCCTTCCCACTTGCGCTTTGCTGTCTTTATCCCAGCAACAGAATCCTAACGAAGATAGAAGTGAAACGGAGGAGAAATCAACACATGTGCCATTTGTAAGACAAAATGATGACAAACAGCAAGGCGCCGGGACAAAGAGAGTCACGGTCGATTTAAAAGCTGGAAGCGCAGGTCACCCATCAGACCTGACTGAAACGCTGCAGGATTTACTCTGCCCTGAAAAGTCAGCCTCATTAATTCTATAATCAACACGTCAGACTCATTCCCTTTGTGCCTTCTCCCAATCTGCTTCACACTTAACAAAAGAAATGGGTTTTCCACATTTAAAGTGTGTGTGTGTGTTGGGGGGCGGGGGTTAACTTCCAGATTTTAAATACCAACATTAAAAAGACGGAAAGACTCAAAACGCCACTGAACAAATCGACCCAGTGGAAGCCATCACTGCCGTGGCAGGACAGCACAGCCAACAACAGTACAGTGGACGTGGTTGCCCGGCCCAGCGCTGTCTGCCTGTGCCTCTCCTCATTTGATCAGAAACCCTCTCCTCATAACATCTGACAGAAAGGAGACCGTTCTTTGATTCATATGCAAATTTAAAAATTTATTTATCTAACACTCACGTAACTTCAGTCACATCAGTGCGTAGGCAGACAGAATTTGGTATTGCGTCAGAGAACAGACAAAGGGCTGCAAAATTACATTTCGTATATCAACAATAACGTGGTAGCCTCTTGGAGCAGGGCTTTCTAAGAGTGCCATAGCTTAAGTTGTGTGTGTGTGTGTGTGTGTGTGTGTGTGTGTGTGTGTGTGTG